ACACTTGACCGTCAGGAGTTCACTCATAGTCGAGCAACTTTCTGGGGCGAACGCTGGTGACTTGATCAGAATGGACCACTGCGAGGCCGTGTTTTGGGTTCTTTCATTGTTTGTGGAGTACATACATACACTTGACCATTGAAAGTGACCTCAGAGTCGAACAAGATTCCGGGACGAAAGCTGACACTCCAGCCATATGCTGTGAAAGACCCGCAAACATTCCCAGCCAAGCACCACTAAAAGCTCGAAGCATGAGCCAAGGAATCGCTCTCTTGGCCTGCCTAGAAGAACATCGTAAAGCAAAACGAGCTCGGTTCCCTACCGCACGCGTTGAGGGCCCAGACATTGACGAGGATTCCAACTGGCCTGTCTACGATGCCTACCTTTAAACACTAGAGCCGAAGGCATAATGACACTCACGAACTTCTCGCCGTCAGAGTTTTACCTTCTCTGGCCAGACATTCGCCAGCACATCTTCAGGCACTGGAATGTGCGATCCGGCCGCAAGTGTGCAGTGTCCGCTCGAGGCCTATTGCTCATGATGCTTGCATCACTCAAGCACTGCGGTACCTGGGATATCGTTGCTCAAACATTTCGCACAACTGTGGCAACGTTCGAAAAGCGCGTCATGAGCTTCATAGAGGTCATGCGTCCCTACCTTCTGCGCAAGTATGTTCATGGCATGGCATCCAAGTGGTCGATGCATGAGCTTGCCGCCAACGGAACAAGGTTCGAGCACTACCCATATGCACGCTACGCCACCGATGTTACCTTCCAGAAGACAAACGTACCTGTCGGTTCGTACGCCGAAAAGAAGCTGTACTCCAGCGGCAAGCGTCATCTCTACGGACACAAAGTTGAGGTGTCAGTCCTTCCAAATGGCTTTGGGATCAATTGCACTTCGTACCACAAGGGAAGTGTCTCGGACAAGGCGATCTTTGACGACAAACTCAACTTTCACCGCACCAACCTCACCAAGCACCCAAGCGAAATGGAGATGACGGGCACTGACGGTCGTGTCGAGCAATGGGCAGTGCTGGCGGACAAAGGCTACCAAGGAATTCAGCATGAAGTTCGCGCTGTACTGCCAACAAAGAAGCCATCGGGTGGTTTTCTCACCTTTGACCAACAGTGCACTAACGACCGCATTGCGACCGACCGCTTCGTCGTGGAGAACTAATTTTGTAGACTGAATACTCTTTGGGCCATCTGTGGCGATGCCTATCGATGGAATCGTAAGAACTATGACGTTCACTTTCAGACCTACGTGGCAATCACCAATGTGCACAATCGATTCAATCCACTTCGCGCTGAGGATGGCGATGCGAATACCCAGTACGTGAATCGCTTGAACACGATTGGTTTGAAGAAGATCAAGGATAAGAAGAAGGCGCAACAAAAGTACCGCGAGAAGCGCAAGACGAGGTTGACTTTGTTTCTTGCGTCGGAATCGGCTATCAATGGGAATGCATGTGACAGCGAAACGGAAATTGGATCTGACAGCGAGAATGATGGAGGCACATCCCAACTATTCTAAATAGGGGTGTGTAGTTATTTTGTATAATTGAATAGAGGTTTTATCAAAACGTGCTGGGTTTTTATTAGCTTAAAGGTTATTTGTTTGGTCACCTTTGTTAATATATAAGACTTCTTTTGTTAAATATTCCTTAGATAGTCATTCAATTGGGGTCATTTACAGTAGGTAGATCAGGTATTTAGACGTTTAGAATTCCTTCGAAAAATAGGGACCCTATACTTCATCACTTCGTAAGATGGTGCATACTTCTGGAATTGGTGCTTATAATTTCAGGGACATGGAAATATTCTGGAACACTTAATCCATCTCACACGCAACTTCACCTCTGCAAATACATCGAGTCTTTGGACTGGAGGTCTATTCATGGAATACGTATGAGACTTTGGGAAATTTTTGCTGACTTGCCAAAACAGATTATGGCATAGTTTTATGGTGTGGCATCCAGACCAGCCCTAAATTAACTGTTCAAGGGCTGGTCTGGATGCCACCCCATAAAATTTCGGGGTTTCGGGGTTTCGGGGTGGCAACTTTTCTTGGAAAAACGGCCATTTTATGCCAATTTTCGTGGCATCCAGACCCACCCTAAGCTTATTGTGTTTTCGACTGAAAAAATTTCGTGTTGTGGTGTGATTTCTCGTTAGAATTTAAATCAATCTGATTGGCTACCTCAGATCAGCTCAAAATTATTAGCTAATCAAAACCTTCTCAATGAAATTCAACCAATCAGATCGATTGTGGATCGCTTAGGTTGGCGCGATTCGATTGCACCCCCTCCCCAAATTTGTACCAAATCGACAATACTGGTTGTTTTTTTCCATTCACTTTCGACCTCTGATAATACATATACTATAATACTGTAGTACCCTCGCTTTTGCATTCTTGTCGTGAACAGTATGCGCGAAACATTGACGCTTCAGTTTGGCAGTGCAAGCAATCAACTGGCGGATAAGCTATGGCACAGCGTCCTAAGCGAACTCAACGCCGACAAGTCCAGCATTACCACTGACGGCGCACGGGATTCGTCGATGACGTATCGTAACGGACGCTACACGCCACGCGCGGTGTCGTTTTGCAGTAAGGGTGGCTTGTCCAAGGCCAAACCAAGGAGCGTAGACACCGCGTCCAGCGCTTGGGATGGAAACGTGCAAGTGATTTCTCAAGATTCCGAAGATGCTCAAGCAGTTGCGACGCCGCTTCCATCGCGGGCCATCGTCGAAGTCAACGAGTTTCGGCATTTCGACCCGCTGAACAATTTCTACGACGGGGTCCTTGGCTTGGACGCAAAAGTTCGACGAGAAACGATGGATACAGCGCACGATGTCATCCGTGCTGCGCTGGAAGCGTGCGATTCGCTCCAGGCAAGCCCCATCGCCCTTCCTGTCGACTCCTCTGATCTGTGGCTGTACTCTAGGGAGTGCAATGCATCGTCGACGTCGACTCAACGTGGGGTGGGTTTGCGTCCGAAGTGTTGCGAGGGTTTCGCGAAGAGTGCCCGTCTGCGTTTGTGTCTGTTCTCGGTCTCGACACGAGGTACATCATCCACGTCCACTATGGCTTAACCGCCGACATGCACATGCAGGTACCCCGTGGCCTCGCAAGCCGACTTCTTCGATCTGTCCAAGCAGAGCGGTCGGCGATCCATCAACTTGGCCTCGTCCGTTTTGATTCTCAACGAACTGAGCTCGCTCTTCATCCCGTTCAGCCCCCACACTTTCGACGCCGGCGCCGTCGCGTGGAATTGCCTGTCGTCCGTGTATCGATGGCGCGGCTCCGCTTCCACGCAGGACCTACTGTTCCGTCCGAACGCGACCGTGATGCAGCTCAGTTGTTCGCTCGTACCCCCCGCCACCCTCTTCGCCATGCCACCCCTCGACCGAGTGGCCCACTGGGACCAGTTGTCCAGCTTTCCCGTGATCCAAGACTGCGATGACACCACCCTCCGCAAGTTTCGGTTTCAGTTTCTTGCCGTTCGAGGTCTCCCCCACTACTCATTTGATCGATTGGCCGGCCAACCATTTGACCATTGGCGCTCCACCGTCGTGGCTAAGCCGCTGTTCGACCAGTCGTCTCATCCAGTGGATGGTGGGGCGGTGGCGTCGCTAAGTATCACGGACAGAGTGCCCAAGTACCTCATGGCGCTGGCCACCGGCGTCAAGCACGTCGACCCCCGCGTCGTGCACGAGTTCACGCAGGCGGGTATGACCTGCGACGGGATTCGAGATCTCCACGATGACCTCATGAGTTTGAGCGACTCGGTCTTGTAAAGTAGTACCAAGTATAGTAGAGACAACGTTGAACAAATGAGAAAGTAGGGTAACTAGTACATATACTAGTTGACAGGAAATGGTATGAGCTTGGTGCAAGGGCGGCCAGTAAGGTAAGGTTGGCCACCGACATACGATTTTGCAGGAAAGATGGACGCGTGCCCGATTTAATTGGCGATTCTAGGGAATGGGCATCCACCCCTCCATCAACAACATATATTAATACGTGTGGTGTAAGCATAATGGCGAGTCCAACGGTACTACGACGACTAAGCTTACTAGTATTACTACATGAATAGGATTCGGAGTACTACGTAACGTTAGTAGGATTAAAAGCCGGCATATCGTCGTTTTGCATCCTGTGCATTGGCGATTACACAAAATTTGCCAATTTTGGGTGATTGTTCACAACTCGAGCAAAGCGGTATGATTGGCTAAAACGAATGAAGGTTGCATTATGATTGGCTAAAAAAGATTATTTTTATAATATTTCAAAGGGGTCCAGCGATAGTGAGTACAAATCAACAAACGGAAATAAATAGTTTACGAGAAATACCCCGCTGAAGCTGCTGCTGCTTTGGTGTGGTAGTTGAAGGCGGGGTCGGTGCAGCATTGATATAAAGGAGGCAGCAGCACCACATCTCGCTCGGGCAGATCGTAATGCGATGGCTTTTCCGGGACGTAAGTCATCGCGTGGTACGCGGCGGCCGTCGAAACCACTTGGACCCAATACTTGTCGACAGCGGGCACTTTTTTGAGCTTGGTGGCGGCCGCGGCGGCAAATGGAACGGCCGTGGCGGCAAACGGAAGGTACTGCTGGATCCACGTCACGCAGTCCCACACGTCCTCGGCCTTGAGGTGCAGAAAGTGCGCCAGCGCGTACAAGTTGTGTCCGGGCGCGACGAGGAACAACGCGGCGGCGGCCATCATGCTCGGCAGAAAGTGCAGGCAGTTGGCGTCCAGAAGCGACACGTCCAGCAAGTTGCTCGCGATGTGGAACACGTTGGCGCGCTCCATATCCCGCGCGTGATTCGTGTGCTGGAGTTGCTTGACGTCGAAGTGGTCGCAGTGGTCGTGGACGTAGCACGGCGACGACGACAGTCGCACCGGGTCCTTGTACAGTCCCAGACCCTCCATCGTCATGAGCAGCCACGACACGGCCGTCGCGGGGTACAGCTTCCACTCGAGGGTCTTGAGCATCGCCTCCTCTTCCGCCACGACCTCATCCTTGGTCGTGTAGATCGAATGGGGTTTCTTGGCTTGTTTCTTGGATCGCGACGTCGCCGCTCGCTTTCTCGTCGTGGGTTGGTCCACGATTTCGCCGCTTTCCCGCTGCACGGCCTCCAGGATCTCTTGGATTGATGGAGGGCTCACTTCTTCGATCTTGCATGCAATGACAAGCGCAGCGGACGCGATGACCACGTTCGGATGCTCTGGCGTTTTCATGTGGCCCAGATGCGCTGGACACAGGTATCCATGGTGAATCAAGTTGGACAAGAGCACCCGCGTCAAGTACGAACATGCCAAGTGGCACGTCTCCCGCTTCAACGCCAACGAACTCCCCACACACACGATGCGATGCACTAGTCGCGCCCGATACGCGTGAAAGGCCGACCATTCCAAGGGTGTGAGGGAGGGAACGTAGTCGCGAACGGAGTACACCTTCTCGATCTCGCGAAGCCGATAGTTCCGGACCACGTCAAAGTCGAGGTCGATCGTGTCCTTTGTCATGTCATGTCCCATTTGTGTGTCGAGCAGCCGATGCTCCATGCTGTTGGTGTTGCTGGCTCGGTACATACCAGAGTACATCCCTTCGACGAGCGATAGTCCGTTGGGTCCTCTGAGTCCTTCCTTCGACTCCAGCCGGCCTTCCTTCGATCGACAGCGCACGGAACAAGGCTTGTGGTCTATACAGTATGTATGAAACAAATGACAGGGTTGCACACAGGCGAAAGTACTACTAGTAAGGTCGTTCAGGTCCTCAAAATCCAAGTGATTTCACTAGTAATACTATCCATGCAACGGCGTGATCTATTGCACGTCTAGTACACCACCGAACTGTCAAGAACCGAATATGCCACCACGTCAATATTTCGCCCATAACTTGTATGGAGAATTTGGCCTGAGCAATTCTAAAGTAACTCACCACTCTTGGATCTGACATTCGCAATCACGTTAAGATGGAGACTGCGAGTCATCCGTGGCTCATGGCTCATGGCTCGGTATGTTCTCACCGCCATTCTGGCTGGGACAGGTCGTGATTGCAAACCACGGAGGATTTGCATAATACCTTCCAGCTTAATTGTAGAATTGGGTAGAAAAAAGAACCACATCCGGATCCGGTTGATGAACTGTCTAGTAATACTAGACAGTATCGTCCAGTTGTGAATGGACTTGCGGATCACAAACTACGGCACGGATGCCCGTGAGTATGCCCTCGTGTCCAAGGTGGCGCAGCCCCACGACTACTCTGCGCTGTTGTCGCTGATTTCGCTCCTCATCAACACTGGGCTGTGCGTGGTCGCGTATATCATTGCAATTCCACAGCTCCGTGGGCGGATTGATTCGTCCTACCACGAATGGTGCCCGATTCCAAATGCCGACGACAGGCACTTCGCCACATGGACCCTCCTTCCAGTGCTTGTCGTGGCCCTGTACATCAAAACGTCGTTTGCGACCACTGTAGTTGAAGGTACTTTCTTGATGCTAATGTCCCCGTTGTTCTCATCACATTGTGCCAGAGTCTCTCTTGGTGATCCCTCAAATCGGTGTCCAATTGCGGAAAAAGCAGCGGAATGGCCACGAAACGTTCATGGTACATATATATATCAACTATCGTGTTTGGTGTTGTATCATGTTGCGCGCGGTTAGTTCATTGAGGCGACGTGCATCAAGGCCGTGGTCATCAACGAAGCGATATCGTTCTCGGACGTGATCTACTACTTGGCCTTCCTCGTGGAAAACGAGCGCAAAATGGTGCTTGCCTTTGAGGTACTCGCCCAATCTCGCCATGACTCGACCATGGACTTCAATGGTGCTGTAGACGTTTTGCCCACGAATTGTAGCGCTGCAAAAGATCTACCGAGGGACAAAGCAGTTACTCTTCCCAGATGACACGAAAATGACCATGCTTTGACACTAGTGAATTTACCATATGACGACATGTGTACATCTGGGATGATGATGTACCAAGCAACGCGCATGTTCCTTGTTATCGATCATGGCGATGGATCGACGTCTATAGCCGCATGCTTCATTGATGATTGAAACACCGAAAGTCCTGCATCTACATCGTCGTCAAATGACATCAACACATGCATTGGTGAACGTTGCTGCACATGGAGGATACCAAATGGCGCGATCACGTTGCGTTCGACTGTTTCAAGGACAGCCGTGAACTAGACGCATATGTAGCCAGCGGATAGGTCGAAGATGCGATGGACATGCATGTTGTCGTGGTAGCCTTCACGCATGCTCTTGCGATGACGTGACGAAGTGTGCTTCGAGAGGCCCCTTGTGAATCGGCGGGATTTTGACGACCAAAACTCTGCAGTTATGCGGATTATCCGGATACCAATTATTCGGAGAGTCGGCGCGCGCAACAGCCATGAACAGCACGAGTCTGAGTGATCTGGACGTCGATCATGCGTCGTCCGCGAGTGTCGACCGGTTCTTGCTAGAGCATGGCATCGAGTTCAGTTCCAGCTCCATGGAGGAAGAAAAGGAGACCTCGTTTTCGCTTCAACTGACCAACTCCCGGCTTGAACGCGACGAACCATTGACCCTCGATGATTTCTCGCCCATGCGGCCGTCGGAGGCTACTCGATTGTCAAACAGCGAAGGCAGATCGAGTCGGGATCAAGAGCGTGTCGCATATCCCAGCAGCGTTCTGCGCGATGACACCACCAGTGCCCGAGCGCCGTCCACGTCGATACCATTTGAGCAGTCACGCGATCAGTCATCCGCTGGAATGGTTGCAAGTCGGCTGTCCACACCATCATCAAGCAAAAGTCGTCGTCCATCCACTGCGAGTGTCGTTCACGATCAAGGTAACGATTCTAACAGCACGGAAGCAAGCGCGGTGCATCCAAGCACGTCGTCCGAGAGTGCCTGGCGGCCGTTGAACTCGTTGTTGGCGCAACATGGGTTCTCCCCCGTCGAATTGGTCCCAACGGCGACAGGAGTCCTTCCGAAAATGGACGCGTTGTACGGCGTCGTGCACGACTTGATCTCTCAACTAGAGCGTCGTGGCCAAGTCCGTCCCCAGCATGCACCACTTCTGCAGCTCACAGACAACACCTGTGTAGATCATTCAAGACCTCGTGCTGGACTCGGACATCAATGCCAAGAAGCAGACCAAGATCGAGACGTCCCTGGCGTCCAGTGGGAAACACGTCGCGAACGTCACCGACGCCCTCGAACGGTCGCAACTCGAAGTGCAATCGCTCAAGGTACACTTCATTCCTAGTAACTAGTACTACTACATGACAACATCATCGTGTCCACTAGAACCTCCACGTACGTTATTGGGCTTTCAGTCAACATGTGGATTTTTATGCTGATTGATATTTCCCTTGAACTGCATTTTGTGGGTATACCCTGCACACTAATTTCAGTCTCATACACTAATTCTATGTGGTAGGATTATTTGATTGGCTCATTGATTCATGTTCTGTGTTTTGATTGGTCGATATCGATTACCTGCGGATTTGGTGCTGCTTGAGCATATATTTTGGATTCGACACGAATTTCCAGACCCCATCGAATCGAATCTCGCCGCTGAATCGAATCACGAATCGACGCTATTGGCTAATCCATTTTTGAGAGTGGATTTGATTGGCTCTTGCAGAAAGGACAAGTATATTCAACCAATCAGAACTCCGGCGTGATTCAAGATTGATTCGACAAACCAGGTGAATTTTGGAAGTTTATATTGTGCTTTCGAGTGAAATGTCGTGTTGTGGCGTGGTTTCTCGTTGGAATTTAAATCGATTTGATTGGCTACCTCCGATGAGCTCAAAATCATTAGCCAATCAAAACCCATTTCTCAATGAAATTCAACCAATCAGATCGATTGTGGATCGGTTTGGTCGGCGCGATTCGAAACCCAAATTTGTATCAAATCGACAATATTCACAATATTTACAATATTTCCGTCACTCCAATTTCGAATAATCGACTTGACCGTATAGTATGTAGACCCAACTCGAACGCGCGTCGGCCAAGGCCGATTCGGACCAAAAGGCGTATAAACTCCAGAAAACCAAGCTGGAGCAGCAGCTCAAGATGAGCGAGCACCGCGTCAAAGCAAAGGAGGCGCTGGTGGACCGGCTCCAGGTCAAGTTGCAGCAGGTGACGGACAAGGACGCCGCCGCCAAGTCGCGCACCCGCCACGTGTTTCGTGACATCCACATGCGCGAGCCTCGACGGACCAGCGCCGCCGACGTCAAGGCTTTGGAACTGATCGCCATGTACGAACACGACCGGGACAAAATGGCGGGAGAGATCCGAAGCCTGCAAAGCCAGGTTCAAGAGCTGTGCTGCGACGTCCGCGATAAGGAGAACGTGCTGCTTCGGCAGTCGTCCAACGGGTTGCCGAAGAATCGGGAGGATGCGTTTGTGGAACGGTTAGAAGCGGCTAGATTGGAGCAGGAGCAGTCGGCGAGGAAGCTGCGGCAGCAAGAAGCGCTCATTCAGGACAAAGTGGCCAAAATCGACGCCGACTTGCGCGCATCCAAGCAAGTGGTCGCCGACCTTCGCGACGAAAACGCAAACTTGCACTTGGAAGTGCAGTCCCGCCCGAGTATTCGAGACTACAAGGCGACCCAGCGACGGGTGATGCTCCTGGAGCGCCAACTGCATGACCAGCAGGTCGCCGTGACCCACGCCAACACGCTGGACGACCTGCGACAATACATGGGCACGGCCGAACTCATCTACCGAGACAAGCAAAACGCCAAGCTGCATCTGAATCGACTAAGTACTTTGCCCAAAGAAGCATGCTTGGAAGTAAGTTCGTGATGGGTTTGAAATCGATTGACATGTTATATGTCCTTTTACCCAAAATTTGGACGTTTGTGCTGATTCGCCAATTCGATGATCGATTCTTTGTGCTGACTTTTGTACGTGTGTTCAAGTCGCACACTAATTTGTGGTTGATTTCGTCGAAGAGTGGATAATTTGATTGGCTACTTGATTAGTGATCTGGGTTTTGATTGGTCGATCGATTGTCTGGCTGCTATTGAGCACCCCACTCCAATGTCGAATCGACTGGACAATGTCCTTTTACCCAACCTTTGGACTTGTGTGTGCGCATCATATTCGCCAATTCGAGCATCGATCGATTCTTTGTACTATGAGTATTGTCCTTTTACCCCAAAATTCGACTTTTGTGCTGATTCTCCAAATCTATCGATCGATTCTTTGTGGTGATTGATATCACAGTAATTAAAGTCACACACTAATGAGAAGCTGATGCTGATTTCCTGCAATCTGATTGGCTAGTCTTCTACATTATATTTGGTTACGTCGATTCATTCTCCATGTCTCTCCAGTTTAGTATAAACACAACTGAAATTTGCATGGACACAGTTGTCGTGTGGTGATATTAATCACACTAATTTAAGTCCCACACTAATTCGATATTTTGACGATGGTTTCCTGCAATCCAACAACAGTTCTGCCGATTCCTTCTTTTGTACACGTATTTGGTTGAGTCGATCGATTCCATCTCCATGTTGCGCTCCAGTTTAGAATCAACTCCACATAATATATATATGTACACAGGTAATGCAAGACATTTGCCGCCAACTCGACCTGACAGACGTGACGATGATTGGCCCGAGCGTCGCCAAGCTCATCTCGGTGGTGCACGCGGTTCCGCGCATGGAAAAATTCATTCGCGACGTCTGTGCCTGTGTCCAGCCGTCGGCCGCAATCGAAAAGGTCGTCCCAACACTGACCAAATGGAAGCAAAACCTCGACCAACTCGAGTCGTTGCAGGTACGTCGTACTAACATACGATGAGTAGTATTACTAGTAGTAGTAGTCATACCGAAAGAGCGTCATGGAGATGGGTGGATGGCGTAGGCGTATGCAGCCCAAATCAACGCCGCGTTGATGAAGCGAACGTACGAAAACGTCGAGGACTCACACACAACCGACCCCCTGTCCCCGAAGGTTCGTAGTAGTACTAGTAGTAGTACTAGATCGACTCAGGTTGGTGTTGTAGCGGGCATTGCATGTGATTGACGAGTTAGTTGCGTTTGAATCGCATTTCTTGCAAGAGCGACAAATGTACAGCATCGCCATGACAAATGTCGAGGTACGATCAACATCGCTGCTCGTATAATATATATATATATATATGCCACTCTTTCAATATATAATATATCTGTCTTGTAGAAACAACCCGATGTATTAGTCCACAAGATGATCCAGCATTTTCGGCATTTGTTTGGCGTCAAGACCATGGACGGTGTGTTTCCCAAGATCAACGTACGAAATAATATCAACAGTCGATCCAACTTTTGTATATTCCGACTATATACATATTATATATATATTATATTTCTAGGAAGTGTTTTTATTCGTTAACGAAATGAACAACGCGTTGGCATCGATCAAGGAGGCTTTAAACCTGCGTAAGTCAAGTATCGTTCCGTGTTGTTTGCAAACTCAGAGGAATCTGCCCGCAGCAACCACCGCTTCTGTCACAAGTACCCTCCAAGACCTCCGCACCGCCCTCCAGCAGACTCCATCTACACGTCCAACCAACACAAGCGAAAGCTACGTCGTCACGTCCAAGTCGGACGTCGTGGGCGTCGCGGCCGTCAGACAGCAGCATCTTACGCTGACCAAGTTGAAGCAAGTGCTGGGCGCGCAGTCCACGGACGAGTTGGTTCCACGTGCGACGAGGTACTAGGTGGCGATGGTTCTAGTAGTAGTACTAGTAATACGGCTGACCCCGTTTCGGTAGGCTGATGGAGCTGCTCAGTTTATCGTCGATGCAACATCCGTGATGGGAACGTTCTTTAACGTGGACTTTTAAAGGAAACAAGGGAGTGTGTCAACTACACCTTTTTGCAGTAAGTTGGACGAATGCCCGATGTATTTGGCCGTGTGCCCGATATATTTGGCGGTGTGCCCAGCAATTGCCCATCTACCCGAAGAATAGTGCCCGATGAAAATGTAAATCACGCAATAAAAAGTCAATTCAACATAGAAATGGTCGTCAAACGACACATGTAGCATCGTTGCTGTGGTGTCACATCCCAACGCCCATGTTGCCCATGGCCTCCGCGCGTCCATCGAGGGTGCGCTCCTCGAGGTAAGAGCTCTCTGCGCGACAGATTCAGATTTTGGACGGAGTTGAAGTATGGACGACACGTTGAAGTATAGGGGCATATTGGTACTTTTATATGTACACACATCGACTTCAGTGTATTGACTTGAATAAAGTATACTTTTATCAAAACACCGACTTGAATTCATTGACAGTGAATTTACAGTAAAATACAGTGTCGAATTCAATCTATTGACTTGAGTAAAGTATACGACTGTTGCCCCTATACTTACTTCAACGTGTCGTCCATACTTCAACTCCGTCCAAAATCTGAATCTGTCGCGCAGAGAGCTCATGTTTCGCTTTACCTCGAGGAGCGCACCCTCGATGGACGCGCGGAGGCCATGGGTTGGGATGTGACGCCACAGCAACGATGCTACATGTGTCGATTGACGACACAATTCTTCGGGCAGATGGGCAATTCATGGGCACACGGCCAAATATATCGGGCACACGACCAAATACATCGGGCATTCGTCCAACTTAACTGCAAAATGGTGTAGTAGTACGCGGCGGCTTTCATATTATTACACGTGGTATTCTACATTCGACGCCGCGCCGTGCACCTTGGGCTCGCCATCTCCAAACAACTTCGTCCAGAACTCGACTAGCATGTAGAGCGGTCTACAGATATGCATGAGACGTTATGTAGAGGAGATAGATGGACGGACCTGGAAATGAGGTCCAGCCATTTGTGAGGCGCGGCGCCGCCGTTGACGTACAGGATGTATAAATATGCATGATGGTTGTGGCCACTGATGAAATAGTAATCTGCCACGAGAATGCAACACGTTGTTAACTTGACCAAGGAGGAGCATGCAACCAACTTCACCTTCTAAGAACCGAAGCCGGTGGAACCCATTCTTCTCGTAAAACCGAATCGCTTGGCCGTTGTCTGCTTTCACGTGAAGGTACAAGGCCCGACAGGACGAGTCGGCCTTGGCTTCGTTGATGCACGTGGTCAACAGCACAGACGCGATGCCCTTGCGTCGATAGTCCTGCCGTGCCCCCAGCGTGAGGATGTACATGAGCGTCGTCGACGTGTCTTTCGACTGATGGATCAAGCACTTGTCCTCAGTGTCGTCACACCGCTGGATCTGAGCTGTCACCGCCCCAATGATGTCTTCGTTGCACAGCGCCACTTGTGTGAACAGCGGCTCGCCGTTTTCCCACATGCCTTGGCCAGCATGTTGATAAAAGGACTCGTTGTATCGGATCGGAAACCAGTCCTCATGCAGCGCTTGCAGTTGCGCGACGTCCCGCGGCTCGATTCGGCGCAGCACGATCGCGCTTTGTGCGTCAGGAATGCGGTGCGTGCCTTGCATCCTTGTGCCCGCAGCCCCCCCGTCTGGCGACAAGGAAGGAGCGCTTCTTAGCGTGAGTTTCCCTCGTTCCTGATTGGCTATGTTCCGTTATTTAGTATGCTGTCTAGTAGCACCATACTACGTAGTAGTACTACTATTAGTACAGCCTCCGATTTGATTGATCACATGCTTCGCGCCGTGGTGTTGAGACACATCAAGCGGCGCCAAGTTGTCACCGCTGGTCTTCGGGGGTTCGCCGCTGGCTCTTCAAAGACACCCTACGCATGCAGCGAATGCGGCCACCGGCATTCCAAGTGGCAAGGGCAGTGCGACAACTGCCACGGATGGAATCTCCTGCAAGAAGTGTCGGCTCGACGGGGCAAAGCTGCCGCGCGAGATTGGATCCAGCAGTCCAAGCCGGTACGCCTGCACGATGTGACTTTGAGTCAGAACGTGCATCGCATCAGGCTGGCGGACGCGGAGATCAATTGGGTGCTTGGTGGAGGCATCGTGCCGGGATCGCTCACACTGATCGCAGGACCGCCCGGCGTCGGTAAAAGCACCGTACGTTCGTTCTATATATGAAAGAGTCCTAACACATTCTCCATGTAGCTATCGTTGCAAATTGCGCACATGATGGCACAGGCAAGCCCGAATGGGTCGGTGCTGTACGTGTCAGGGGAAGAAAGCGTCGGCCAAGTGAAGATGCGCTCCGACCGCCTCGGCATCAAACACCCGACCTGTCCCAACTTGTACTTGGCCAGTGAGACCAACATTGAAAGCATCATTGCCATGATTCAGCACTGGGACGCGGACGCTCCATGCGCTGGCGTCATGATCGATTCCATCCAAACCATGTACTCGTCCGACATCAACTCCACCGCCGGTAGTATCGTAGAAACTCTCCATCTACTACTACGTAGTAGTAGTAATAGTAGGCTAACCAGTACGTTCCACTCTTTCCTAGGCAACGTCACGCAAGTGAAAGAATGCACGTTGCAATTGCTACGAGTGTGCAAGGTACCAGCAGTCGTAGTAATACTAGGCGACTATGTACTATAATAACCCCCTAGGACGCCAACATCCCCATGCTTCTCATCGGGCACATCACCAAGAGCGGCGACATCGCGGGACCCAAAGTTCTCGAGCATATTGTGGACACTGTGATCCAACTAGATGGAGACGCGCACAGTCCGAATCGATTCCTTCGATGCACCAAGAATCGATTTGGAACTACGAGCGAAGTGGGCGTGCTGTCCATGACGGATGCGGGGCTCGTGCCGCTCCAGAACCCACTGCAGGCGTTCCTCAGTCCTAGTAAGTCCGACATACACTATCTAGTAATACTAACCAGTGTATGCAGGCACGGGGCCTGTCGAAGGCGTAGCTGTGACGATCGCTGTGGAAGGCACCCGACCGATTCCCGTCGAGATTCAAACGCTGTCGAGCCCCTCGTTTGAAGAACATCGCACCAGCTGCAAGTGCCACGGTGTATCGTACGACAAGCTCCAGCTGATCTTTGCCGTCTTGGAAAGCCGCGCGGGTGTGTCCTTTCGGTCCAAGAGCTCGTTTGTCAACATTGCCCAGGGCTACTTTCTCGACGAACCATGTGGTACTTATATATATATATATATATATATAGTGCTTTCGAGAGAAATTTCGTGGCGTGGTTTCTCGTTGGAATTATTTAAATCGATTTGATTGGCTACCTCACATGAGCTCAAAATTATTAGCCAATCAAAACCCATTTATCAATGAAATTCAACCAATCAGATCGATTGTGGATCGGTTTGGTCGGCGCGATTCGATTGCACCCCCTCCCCAAATTTGTATCAAATCGACAATATATTTAGTGCTATATATATTCAGCCAAAAATTGGATATTTGTGTCGATTGTTTGTACTGACAGTGAATGTTGCATGTGAAATTTGGGAGGCCATTCACACTATTTGAAGTCACACACACATTAAATTGGTGGTTGAAGGCCTTGAAAGTGTTGTAGGTTATGATTGGACGATCGATTGTCTGTCGATTTGGTGGTGCTGCTCTCATTCGATTGAGCACCCTATCAAAAAACTGACAATATATATATATATATTTGCGATTGCGTTGGTTGTAGATGATATATGATCTACTCGGTATGTTGGTAGCCGATCTGGCGCTGGCGGTGGCACTGGCCAGCTCGGCCACCAAGCGCCCTGTACTTCCGAACGCAGTCTTCTTCGGGGAGGTAGCCCTCTCCGGCATGCTTCGACCCGCGGTCATGCTGGAAGCCCGCCTCGCCGCGGCGAGTAAGATCGGAGTCGACACGTGCATCATCCCGCGGGTGACGAGCACCGAAGGGAAGAAAGCAGTAGACAAGTACCGCTTGGCCATGCACATTCAGCAAGTGGACACGCTCGTCGATGCGTTGGCGTTAGGGTTATTGCAACTGCCATGATATATATTTCACTGGTGTTGGTCAGCAACTTATAATTTAGACTCGCTATTGTACGTACTACGTAGTACTAGTTAGTATATTGGCTGGAACCTACGTACGTCCTTGCTTGATGGCATGCCTTTATAGAGTGCTGTCATTCAACTAACTACTACGTAGTACTACTACACTACTACCTAGTAACGACGACTTTGACAACCGATTATTGCCAAAACACTACAGTGCTGTTGTTCGTGATACCCTACTTTGTCTCTCTTATAGTATCGTTATTATTGCTTGTGCTTCTTGAACGGTTTGGGCGGTGGTGGCTTTGACGCTGCTTTCCGCTTGCCACCAGGCGCTCGGTCGAATGGCTTTTTGCCAAAATGCCCAGCATTCTTGTCGAACTTGCCCTTCTTGTTGGCAGATGCGTCCTCTGCGACGCCGTCTTCCTGAGCGCCATCGTCGTTGGAGTCCGCCGCCGCAGCCGCCTTGGCCGCGATATACTTCTTCCGCCGCTCGTTCCGTCGGGCACGGATGTTCTGGTTGCGGGTGGCGACGGGAGCCGCCGCCGCGGTGGGCTGTCCGATGGTCGGCGGCGCGTCCAGCGCATCGTCCGTCTCGTCTGTCCATTTGACTTCGGCAGGTTTCTTATGGTTGTTGGACCCTTTTGTCTTGGGCGCCTTTTTCGACTTTGTGATTTTGAAGTACCTGTCGCACGTGTCGGCGCCGCTGCGACGCATGGGCTGCTTGCCATCGGGGCCGAATTTCCCCTCCGCTAGCTTGGCAGCTCGCTTGCTCCACGAGTCGTACAGCGGGTCCTTGTACAGCTCCAGCAGCTGCGCGTCCAGCTCGGGCGTCCATGGCGACCGATCCACGAGCGGATCCAGCACTGTGTTCCATCGTCCTTGGCACGCCCCGGCGGTACGACCGGGGACTTTGGACGCGACGAGCTTCCAGTTGGCCTTGTGGCTCTTGCCTTGGGCCTCGACGGCCTTCTTCAACTTCTTGTCTTCCTTCCCCGACCAGCTCGTACCGAACTTGACGCCTTTCGCCGCTGCGTCGGTGGAAGCCGCTTTCACGTCGTCGTTGCCCGTTTCAGCGGGAGCCGCCTTCACGACTTTGCCCGTGGTTTCTGTTGCAGGTTTGGTTGATGCCATCTCCGCCAAATGCTCAGAAATGGTTGGTGCCTCATGAAGAACTGCTCAAAATATCTACTGGGCAAACAATTATTTTATGCGGTACAATAAAATGACCGATTCTATAAGTTGCTCATTCACTCCAAACCTCTACCAAACTTACTCCGGAGTAATGGACAGGGATGTCCTCGTTCTCGTTGCGTACGAAGACATCGCAGGCTGTATGGCACCTCTCAGCAGCATGTCCTTTGCAACTTGTAGGTAGACGAAGAGGGTTGTCCCATTCGCTAGTGGCTACTACACCGAGGGTGCGGTGATCACATGGACATTGGGCTATTGAAGATGCTTAAGAGTGCATTGCGTGGTGCCAACCTTCGTGAGGGCTCGACTGTAATGGAGTCTACGCATTCGTGCTGGTCGAGTTCTCGCGCATCCATGTCGTCCCAAGACGCGACTGCACATGCGACGACATGCCAGCATACATGGCGTAGATCATCCAAAGATATGGCCTACTGGAAATCGCGTACATGTGCCACAGTCGCCTGAGTCGCAGCTCTTATCTACCTACAGTGTTGTCTTGCTGCGAGCAACTGAACTTCAATGCGTCCGTCCTTGAGCACTACTACCACTACTAGTTACTAAAATACATGGACGAGTTCCAATGCACTTGAGCAATACACACGTTAAGCTACTTTTTGGTCTCGCGGAGCACAGCTTCAATGTCATGGAGACTCGAGATCAGCGCCGCCTTGAGGTCAGGGAGATCCGACCGATAACTCGCCAGCTGGAACACCGACCCCTGCGCTTCGATGCCATACCCGATGCCGTAGCAGTCGTCGTTCACAGGGCCAAAGCTCCCGCCGTCCAGGTTCGGACTCGAGAGGGTGCTCGTCGACAGGATGATCCGGCTCATGATGGCCGCCGACGGCAGCTCAAACAGTTCCGGCACGGGCGCACCCTGCAGCGCTGCCATCTTCTTGAGCCCAAACAAGTGCCTATCAAAGCCTTGGCCCATAACTCCGTTCTTGGTCAGCTCGCCATGCTTCTTGACGGCCCGCCGCAGCGCCGCTGCCTTGTCCGCCGAAAGTACGCGCGTCGATTCTATCGCATGACAAAACGCCACGGCTTCGTTCGTGCACGACCGGATGGTCTCGGTCCGACCGTGCTTGAATGCCGCCGTGCTCGCGCTCTCGTACGTCGACACAAACCCGCGGTGGAGTCGGAAGTGCGCCAGCTGGATGGCCATCTGCATGACGCCGTCCGTGCCGATGCCATAGTCCGATGCGATCTGCCGCGTGACCGGCGACTCGGCCACGTCAATCAACAGCCGATGCGTCCACGTGTCAAACGTGTGCTTGGCTTGTTCCAGGGTACGTTTAGTCTCGGCCGAGAGGTTCCATTGGAGGGGGATCGCAGAACTAGTCGTCGTCGTGGTGGTTCCACCGGTCGGCAACGCGCCATGCTGGATGCTGTCCGTGTACCTAGATGCAATATCCGCGATATATATATATATTTATATATATAGGTACATTTCATTCAAATAACGCAGCACAGCGACGCCGTCGCCCCACGAGTGCTCGAAATTCACCGATGCCTTGCCGTTAGCCGCGACAATCAGCTGAAAACTCTTGTCAAACCAGTGGTTGGCCCCGTCTCCGTGCAAAAAGGTGCGCGAAATGGCAGCCGGGGACTCGGGCGCGGTGTGCTCCAGCGTCACCTACCCACCATACATTAGCCTTCATCGTGTATATTGGTCGTACCATAAACAAGGCGCTGTCAATGTCATGGAGGCTGGATGCATTCACGGTATCCGACTGCACGAGCGCGGTACGGGCGCGGGCCCAGTCGTCCCGCGGCAGGGTCGTGAGGAGGCCCACGCCCAGCGCCGCCGCCGACTCGACCGGCCGATTCTTCAAGATGGAATCGATTGCCGCCAAGATGTCGGCGTCCGCCACGGCCGTCCCGTCGTCCTTCAACACGTTAAACTTGTAAAACGCCGACCCATATTGCACCACGATGTGCTTGGAGGCTGGAAACAGCTCGAGTTTGTCCTGGCCTACGCCCGGAATGCGCGTCGAGTGAAATAAGTTCTTGTACTGACTCATGTCCAACGGGTACGCGCCCAGCGCCGCGGCGCCGTAGAACGACACCGACTCGGGAAGGAACTTGCAGAACGTGTTGAACGCAGATGTCTTGGAGTAGTTGGGCTTGGTGTGGAAGATATCGGGCTCCAAGTGGCGGTCGCGCAGCGTGCGGAAGACGCGAACCGACGATGCAATCAGCGACGCCGCGCGCTGGTTCTGCGTGTTCTTCTCCGGCGCCGGGTCGTCCTTGATCTTGATCTACCGGATGCGGGGTTAATGACGGAAACGAGGGAAGATGATGGGATGTGGGTGGACCTGGGGGTTGACGTTGATCACGAGGGGCTGGCGGTCCTGCACGTACATGTCAAACCACCACTTGTTGATGTAGCTCGTCTCTGGCGACGCATTGTCGCGTTCGACCAATGCCGCATGCAGCTCCGGACCGTCTTGCTTGCGGAACTTCTCCACGGCTCGCTTGGTCGCGTCGAACTCGTTGGCACTCACGACGGGCTGCACTGCGAGAAGGTAGCGATTCAACGTGTCGTCCAGAGACGGAATCGGCAGTCTCGTGAGAGACTTCTGGAAGTGGAAGGTTGGGATAACCGTCTTCTGCACATACCCGCTCTTGTTGCGAACGATGAAGAGCCCTTTCACCAGTGGGGGCGTTCGCCGAAGGCTGGCCGCAGGTCGCGCCAGCAGCATGACGTGGTCGATTGATATCTGAGGATATCTTTGAGCTTGCAGTACAGTAATTTACCACCATATTCTTTCGACTGTGATCAAAAATAGTTTTGAGCAATAATTTGTACAAGACAAATAAATATTGTGCTCTCATAAACTTAAACTATGCAAATTAAAGTTTTGTCCTTTTAATATCCAAACTGAAGTTCACACCATGATGTGTACTAACTAGTATATATTTAGTACCCACCAATTGCTGTTTCGTCAACGTTGACGATACATACTAAACCACATCTTCTAGGTAGAATGAAAATCCAACGATGGCTCGGCTGCACATTAGTACAGTATCAATAAGTTCCTAACATTAACAAACAACACCCCCCTGAATCATTCAAACACAATGAAATATGCCATTCACTTTTCAAGGCAAGGTGCACTACTATTACTAGTAAACCTATTCGGAGGTCTTCTACTACTCACCATCTAGTAGATACTAACTGTTTTGAACGGGTGTACAATTACGTGGTGTGGTGTTTAATGGTGACATATTAAATACATGTTGAACTTGCCACATCTTACATTCACTCCTAGTGACTTGCGATGAACACGCTGACAGCGACCGCAACGGCGACGGTGCTGCTCGGCAAGTTCGGTCACTTTGCGAGCCGCCCGGACGTCGTTGTGGACAAGACCAATCCGTTCATAGGGTACTTCCACAAAGCGCTCGTCCCTCGACCGCCTCCGCGTCGTTTGGTGCGGGTGCCGAGCCTTGACTATGCCAACCAATTCTTGACGTACGCACCGTTCGCGCCGCCTCGTCCTGTGGCTTTGTCGCATGCGCTTGGTACATGTACATCCACCGCGGCTACTTTCACCCTCAGACGTTCGTTTGGCAGGGCACTTTACTCCACCCTTGTCGTCAAATCCAGTGGTCTCGTACTACAAGCAACATTTCAAGGAGGCGCGCGTGCTTGGACGCGGAGGACAGGGCAGCGTCTTCGAGGTGGAATGCGTACATGACGGGGAACGTTTCGCCGTGAAGAAAGTCGAAATCTCCCATAAACCCAACCAACTCTCCCAGGTAGGTTTCTCGGTTGTTCGTGTCACGAACCCAACTTTGTTCTTCAGGCCATGCGCGAAATCCAAGCCATGACCCGGCTGCCCACCCACCAGAACATCGTGCAGTACTACGCGTCTTGGTTGGAAGATGAGGCCGCCCACCGCGAACATGATGCCTTTACCGTGACCCGTACTCGACCCTTGGAAAGCAACTCAACCACCCACGAGGACGCTTCATCATCTTGTGCTTCGTATCGTGACGAGTTTTCTTTGGGGGAAGACGACAGCGTCGTCGAGTTTGCCAGCAACTCGGTTGCTTTGGAGGACCTTGACCAGTCCAAGCAAGTGTCCACTGCGTCGTCGGGGGATGACGCCACGACCCAACTTCGCAAAACGCTGTTCATTCAAGTCCGTGTTCTTCTTCCTTGTCCTGTACTCTTTCTTATATGTGTATCTAGATGGAGCTATGTCAACATGTATGGGACCACCTGCCCATCAACAACCTCACGTCGTGGTTGGGGGCCACCGGACCTTCCCGCCTCCACTCGGACTCTGTTCATCGCACCGCCATGAGCCTCTTCCAGGACGTCCTCCGCGGCGTCCAGCACATCCACGAGCATGGCGTCATCCACCGCGACATCAAGCCCGACAATGTCTTTCTTCGCAACGGCGTCGCGAAAATCGGCGACTTTGGGCTGTCGACGACGACGACGACGACGACCATCACCACCTCTGTCACGTCGTCGTCGTCGTCGCCGCACACGACCGCGGTCGGCACGTTCCTCTATGCGTCGCCCGAGCAAGTGGGCGTGTCCGGCCAGCGCACGGCGCACTACTCGGACAAGGTCCGCCATTGTCCTTTTGAGATTGAGTGTGTAGTACTTACTACTAGTAGTACTGTCCACTTTTGTATTATTGAGATTCAGATTCAGTTTGCAGTATATGTCCTCCTTTGTCATATTGAGATTGAGATTCAGTTTGAGTTTGTCGTTTTGAGCTTGAGAGTATGTATATACTAGTCGGATATGTTTGGCTTGGGCTTGATCCTGCTGGAGCTGTGCTGCTACTTTGCCACGGCCATGGAGCGCGTGCAAGTGCTGACGAGCGCGCGTCACGGCGTCCTCCCGGTCACGTCGAGATTCTCCACGGAACTCGCGCTCGTGACCGCCATGACAGCGGCCAACCCGTTCGACCGGTAGATCATGATTACGTCATCCTGGACCAGATCACGTCATCATACAACATCAATTAGGCCGTCCGCCGAGCAAGTGTTGTGTTTTCTAACGGCGCGGGCGTCGGCGTGGTAACTGGCAACAGGTGAATTTAAGTATACAAGGACATTTAAAAAGCTACTATTAGTAGTACTAACTGCAAATTGCATACTATAATATTAATAGTATTATAATAGTCCTGTATTCAAAGTTCGCATCCAAAGTGGGATATTCTTCCAATATTATTATGTCTCCAGGTTGTGATGAAAAAAAAAAGTGCAAAAAAAAGGTTTTTTTATTCTTCGCGGGCGCGTTTTTTCCATAGTTGGGCGGCTTGGAGCAGCTTGAGATTCGACTGCGACTTCTCTTCGTCGGGGAAGACATAGTCTGTGTACACTTCCATGCCCAGCTCCGACTAGGAAATATCAAGTATGAGCAATTCCATCATATAGAATGGCTGGCTAGCGTACCCCGTCGACGGCATACGCCATGCGCTGCTTCTGCACGGACCGAGGCAGCAATTTCTGCGCCATTTGGATATTGGCCACGTCGTTGGTCGGCAACGCCTCTTCGAAGGCGACCCAAGCCTCGACCAGCTGCAATCGGTCTTCCTTCTTCCCCTCGTCCTTCAAGCACGTCGATGCGCGGCGAAACACATCGCGCGCCGCGTCAGCATCGAAATGGCTCCCTTCAAACTGGGCAAAGCTCGTCCACACCTGTGTCCACTCTGAATGACTACTATTAGTAGTAGTACTAGTAGTTGTACCTTGACATGCTTGGTGCGTTCGAGCAGCCGCTCGTACAACTCGCGCGTCTTGTCTAGTTCTTGCTGGTCCATTTCAAAGTCAATGTACGCTTTCCACATCATCTCTGGCTTGTCGAGCACATTTTGCTGGATCGCGAGCTCAAACACGGCGCGCGCGCGCGCGATTTCGCCGACGCCGGCCTCGAGGTCGGCGTACTGCTTCCACGCGACACAGTTGTGTGGGGCAAACACGAGCCACTTTTCATATAGCGTGCGACACCGTTCGACTTCGCCCATCATGAGCTCCAGCGCAATGTAGCTGCGAAACAACTTGGTCGTGGCGCAGCGCCCCAGCGCTTCGCCGAGCACCCGTCGCGCCCCCTTCACGTCCTTTTGCCGGATCAAAAACTTGGCGTACAGCACCCACAGCTTGGAAAATGTAAATGAGCGGTGAGGTACAATAGCTACACACTGCTGGTACACCTGGCGCGCATCCTCGACCGACTCGACTGTCAGCTCCATGTACACGGCGTACTTGATCCACAGGAATATGTATCGCCTCCAAAACACCTTTTCGTGCACCGGTGGTACGTTCGCGATCGCGCGCTCGTACACTTCGCGAGTCAGCGTCTCGTTGCCCTCGGCTTCTTCTAGCTGGATGTACTCAAACCATGTGTCGTAGTCCATCGGGTTGCGCGCGACTTGAGCTTCGTAATGCACGCGGCGCTTGGCTATCACGACTTCTTCGATGCGGTGGCGGTCGCCATGCTGTTTTTCAAACGTGATGAATGCATTGTACAGGTTCACCGCGCTCTCCTTGGCCAACGTGTCCAGCGCGTGCTTGTAGATCGCGCGCGCGCGCTCAAACTCCTTGCACCGTTCCTCGAACGCCGCGAACGCAATGTATGTCTTCTCACTGCGCTCGTCTTCCCGCAGCTCGACCATCGCGCGTTCGTAGATGGTGCGCGCGCGCGCCAACTCGAGCCCTTTCTCCTCCCATGCCGCGTACTTGAGGTACGATCGCTCGGCTACGTGGCACATGAGGTAGCGCTCGTACACGGCCCGCGCACGCTCCGTCTCCTTCGCACGGACTTCCAACTTGATGTACGAGTACCAGGCCTGGTCGTCCGGCTGCCATTCCATCCACCGCTCAAAGATCGCGCGCGCCGCGTCCAAGTTGCCCACCATTTCCTCCATGAATGCGTATTTGTACCAGAATTGCGCCACCCGCGGCAACAAGCTCACGGCCCGGTCCCACACGTTCCGCGCGTGGTTGATGAACTTGTTCTTCATCTCCATCTCGGCGTACTTGAGCCACAGCGACTGGTTCTTGTACTCGACGTCGATCGCGCGCTCAAATACCGACCGCGCGCGGGCAAACTCGTGCTGCGTCTCTTCCCACTGCGCGTACTTGATCCACGTGCCCAAGTGATGTCGCTGCCGTCGGATCTCGGTCTCAAACGTTTTGCGCTTGCCCATGCGGTACTCGTCCAGCTCCTCGGCATCGGTGATTCGTCGGCGAGATGGCTTCACCGACTCCTCTTTCCGCTCTTGTGCCTCGCGTAGGATCTGCTCCGCTGTGATCTGGATGGGCGCGGGGGCCCGGTTCTTGACCACGCTCTTCTTTCCACTCATCGCGCAGTGGACTTCTTAGCAACGATCCCTGCTTTGATGGTGGCCGCAAGAAATACTAGTATCTACTAAACCACAGGCCTACTAGTAGCTCGCCTACTATAATATCAAGGTAGCCCCGGATACACTCGAAATTATCCGGTGCATACTTTGAATGTTAATGAAATAGTGACATCAATTGGTGAACAAAATGGCGAAAATCACTGGTTGAAATCAGTCATGATTATAACCAATCCGATGCATCTTCGTTTTCATTGGCTAGCGAATGTCGGTTAAACGATTGGTCCCTGTAAGATCCAACTTGGTGCAATTGACCAACACGCCATTCAGCAATTTCCGTCCGAGTGCCAAAGTCAACTACTTCGAAGTACATATTCCATGCTGCGATGATGATTTTAAAGTGTTTTCAGACTAGAGTTTCCGAACGAGGGGTAGTAGCCTTGAATGTCGAGATACCCTTGGCTGTCTGAGCAGCTTCATCACTTGATTCTGCATGTGGTTTGCCTCACTGTGTGTGCATGACATGATGAATTCCTTCTAATCAACCATCTTTCGGGTCTGATTTCCAAACTGATGGACTTTTAACAGGTTTTCTGATCATTGCTACAAACAATACAATTGTGAACGTACCAGCTAGAGTGTAGATCCACGTCCATCAGCATAGCAATGCCAACGCACCCGACGACACGACACACTAGAACACTGAAAGAAGCTGCGATGATGATTTTAAAGTGTTTTCAGACTAGAGTTTCCGAACGAGGGGTAGTAGCCTTGAATGTCGAGATACCCTTGGCTGTCTGAGCAGCTTCATCACACATTTACGCACTAGCAATACATAGCAAACACATTTCCATACTAGCATACTGCTCTTATGGATTGTGCTGGGGAGTGGCAACTACGTCGGTAATAATGCGCATAGAGTAGACAGAAGTCGAACTCCGCTCCAGCTTGCAACTCGCAGCAGCTAGCTCGCAATAATATATCACGTCGATTACAACGTTCAAGATTAAACCACGAACAACGGGCGAAAGGCTAGCTAGCACTTCGCTGGGCTACAGTACAGTACCGTTAGCCCAGAAGAGGTGGCGTGCATGGTACAGTAGTTTGTGGCCTTGGTTATGAACCATAGGTTGTTGCATCATGTCGTCGAGCATACAATACAGTCAGCTTCAAGAAAGCAATAGATCACTTTTCATAACTTTATCAAATGGCAACGTGGGCATATCTTGCAAACTTCTGGGCTGCGTGGAGGTCGTTTTCGAGGGACTTGATGGTGCAGTGCAGGACGGCGTTGACGTCTGTGAGTCGCAGCACTTCGTCTCGATACATGTGCATCTTCTTCTCTGTCATGAGTCGGCATTTCCTCTCCCTCTCCACGTCGTTCTCGAGCGCTCTCAGTCGCACTTCCAGCGACTCGTGGTCCGGTGATGCTGGATTGGGCGTGCGAAAGCGCAGCACAACGCGGCCCGATGCCAAGTTGCGCAAAGCTTCCACCACTTCTTCAAACTTGAACGACGTAATGTCTTCCTCGTTGATGGACAGGAGGATGTCCCCGGGTTTGATTACGCCGCATGCTTCCCCGGGCGCTTCTCGACCCGACGGCAGCTTGTAGAATGGCACGTGTTGATCGACAATGGCCGAATCCCCGCCTTTGGCAAAGTATATCCCAAGGCCATACAAGTCCTTCTCCAGCGAAACCTCGTACGCGTTCCCTTCCGTTGTGACTCTGGCCGCGCACTTTTCACATGGACCACCTCCGCTTTGGACAGAATTCGTCGACGATTCCAACAGATCCATGTCCAGACTGATGTTGCTAGTGCTGTCGGTCGGACTGGACGCATCGAGAACCGCCCCATGTGAGCGAGGAGTAGCATTCACGTGACTCATCAGTGGCATGACCTTCGCCTTGCTGTGTCGGCGGTGGTAGGTATGTGGGATATTTTTCCGATCTTTGTTTTCCAAAGGTTGCAATAAGCTCTCGCACTTCGAAGCACTCTTATTGCCAATCAAACGTGGCCATTTATACTTCGAACTTCGATTTACCCAGATCTGACAGTATTATTATTTGGCGAATTTCCTTCTCGAAGCAATCTCGCGTGTCCGGCGAAAGTGGGAGGAGGAGCACAGGAGGATGGACGACCCAGATGCGGCCGAGTTCACTGCGTACGAGCAGAACATGCAACTCGTGACGATCGACCAAGGCGCTGTATTACAGACCAGCCAGGCGGGTCAAATGGTGGTCCTGCCCGCGACTTCGACGGGCCTGGCGTTGACTTGTGGATCCGACCTGAGCTTGGTTCACGTTGCAACTCCATCGTTTCGATTCAAGCAATTGGACACAGACACTGACCTGAACACCGCTCCATCAGCATTGCAACGACAAGCCCATTTGGAGAGTCTCATGAAGACCAGTCGAAAGCAGCAGCAGCAAATGTCTCTCCGCCTGCACGGCGGGCACGTGGAATTAGCCGGTTGCGGCGACGAGTATGGGTACGAAGACTTCGAAGCGCTTCCTCCATCCTTTGGAACGAGCAGCCGAAGTCATGCGTCGTCGTCGTCGTCGTCCACCCCCACCCACGACGACATGGTGCACTTTCTCGGTCCTGCCGAGAACATCAAGACCCTGTTCAAACTGCCGTACTCGAACAGCCGCGTGTCGCTCGCTATCCATCGAGTGGGGAACACGCTGATCGTGGACGGCGAAGTGGATGAAACGGACTTGCCCCGCGGGTTCGACGCGTGCAACGAAGTGCTCCAGCCCGACCAACCTTCCCAACGCACGTACCTGCCGTCGCCGCCTTCACATTTGTACGAAAACTTCATTTACCAAAGCACTCAGCTCATCACTCCTCCACCATCTTCCTCGTCATCCCCTCCTCCATTGTCATCGCCAGTCCAACACTCACAACGACCACCACATCCGCCAAACCCATCGTCCAAGCGCCGCAAGGCACGCGCGCAGCTCCAGAAACAAGCCGACCGACAGCCAGACGTCGTGCCAGCGACGTTCGGTCGCACATTCAGCTGGACGTTTCACGATATGAAAATGGTATTGCCTGTTTGTTGACAACATTTGAGCTCGGGTGCTGAATCGTCATATGTCAAATCGAGTCGTTGTCGTGAATATGTTGTGTGCCCTGTAGATGGAAGAATCACACTATTTGATATCACACACTAATTAAATGTTAATGGTCGTGGTCTGATTGGCTAGAATGCATGTAGTCGTATATATTAATCTCCATGGCAGCATAAACCCAACAATTCTATTACTAGTACCCATGATTAACTAACCAACTAACTAACGAATTGATCAATCATAAACACACTGTCTTACTACGTGCTGCTTTCGACACACTAGCTCCTAGGCAGCGACGTTCAGTTGTTTAGCAACAAGGACCACCCGGCCGTATCGCTCAAGCTGCACGACGTGAACGACGAGTTGTCTCTGTGTACAGCACTGGACTACTACTTGGACAACGTGGTGAGTTGGCGCTTCCGCCTACTAATAGTGTTAACATTTCCACCGACTAATTCATGGTCTAGATTGCCAACATCCCAGAGTTGGCCATTTGCATGCATTCCCACGGGTATGTTCGAGGATACCAGCTCCTTCAAACCCGCGACATTCCATATCTCAACGGCGCCGCATCCCGCCCGCTGTTTGATGTCCAAGATGTTGACATGAATGCGACCATGTTGCTTCGGTTCCTGCAGGTATTATTTATGTCTATCTGTGTACCTCACCTATCTCTCTTGATCTAGTAGTAGTAGTAGTAGTAGTAGGACCCTTCCTTCGCTTGCTAACCAACCCTAGCAAAACTGCACAGCATCCAATGGCACGTACTGGCTGTTTCGAGAAGAAGGCAGTCGGTCTCTGCGCCTATACGATGTCCGCATGCTATCCCAAGGCAAGCAGCGCAAGTGGAAGTACATGATGGCGATGCTGTGCTACCGCTTCGCGTCGCGCGCCGGCCGCCTCGTCGTCGCCGCCACGGCCTCCCCCACGCTTCAGCATCGGCTGCGTCTGCGACAGCGTGAGCTGCTTGCCACGTGTCTCGAGCTGCTCGACGAAATCCGCACACAACCCCCACAGACATCATCATGCCATCACCACCCCCAACATCCATCGATGTCCCCGAAAGACTCGATCTCGGCCATGGTGGAAGAGGCCATGGCAGACACATACCTCCACGGAATGCTGCTGGCAACGCCCCACGACTCGATCGAAGCGACCGCCAGCGCCCTTCCGCACCTCGTCCGCAGCATCCGAGTGCTTGAAGGATGCGCACTCCATCACACTCGGCAGCAACAAGCAGACCCCCCGTCTCAAGACAATGGTGACGACAATCGTGACAATGACAATGACGACGACAATGGTGACGATGTGGCAGAGTTTATGCAAGAGGAAGTGCTCCGACTCAAGCTCAAACACTGCTCGGCGTGTCTCCATCTAGCTACTCTGTACTTGGACACCAATATGCATGCAAAGATGCTCACAAGTCTGGCGGACGCGTGCATGTTCATGCCCGTAGACGCGGTGCCCGCCCATCCCCGCCATGTGTTGCTGTCGGTCATCACGAGCCTGGATTTCTTTTCCACGCTGGCGACGGAATTGGATTTTGGAGGCGCGGCGGCGTCCTCCACGAGATCGTACAAGTCGTCCAATGGGTCGTCCAAGCAGTGCCAGTCCATGGCACATGCCCGCGCTTGTGTGCTGGAAGTCATCGGGGATGCCGCCAACGTGCTCGACACCAACGACGCACCCACGGCCGCCGCCTTGTTCCACGCGTTTGCGGTCGTCAGTGGAGGTCTGCTGCCGTCGCACTGCTACGACCACGAAGCATCCGTGGCCAGTGTATGGGTAAAGCAGCATTCCGCTGCGGCCTCGTCCATGGTGTCGCCAGACACGGCAGAATCGCTGCGTTATGTGGCGTTCTTTGCCTACTTGAACGCCCTGGAGCCGCAAGTGCCTGCTGATTCGTTCTTGTACGTCTACAACTTGGTTGATATATTTTAGTCCAGCTGTGACATCGTTTGGCGTGTGGTTGTAGTGTCTTGATGAAGAAATTGGGCAACGCAGCCAACGAATTGGGCAAATTTTACCTCGGACGAAGCGATTTCACAGCAGCGTACCTTTGGTTTGAAGGCGGGAGTATACTATTCGACACCATCGAAGGTACTGTATACCAACATATATATATATGCACCCAAATTTGGTTCATTTGGAGTCTATTGGCGAGTAACATTTGAGGCTTCTTTGGCCCTATTTAAGCTTGTACAAACTATACAATGCTTGGTATATATCAGGTTTTCGCCATTACTAAACTGAATCTCAGTACTTTGGATTGGCAGAAATGTACCCGAAAAACGTGCTTTGATTGGCTTTAGCGGTTCCTTCATATATTGACTTTCTTTTACCCAAACTTTGGTTGACTTTTGTGCTGAATCGCGAAATCTATCGATCGATTCTTTGTACTGAATATTAGTATGTAAAACGTCCTGTGGTGATTGGTATATCACACTAATTCAAGTCACACACTAATTCAATGTTGGTGGTGATGGTTTCCTGCAATCTGATTGGCTAAATATATCCTTCTGCCGATGATTCTTTTGTACATTATATTTGGTTGTGTCGATTCATTCTCCATGTCACTCGCCCCAGTTTACAATACATACACCACAATACCTCTTTTCACATATGATAGTGCAGTCGGTTCCAGTTTTGAATCGATTTGACAATATATATATATATATATATCCATTTTTCCCATTTGATGATTCGAGTGTGTTTATCTAGATGGGGTCAACACGGCTTTGATCTATGCCAACTTGGCTCACTTACACAAAGTGTTGGCGGATACCGAAGCATCCACAGCCGCAGAATCGCATTATGCCCACGCTGTGCAGCTCTGCTTCAAAGCCCAAGCCAAGCTCAAAAGCGCCAAGGCGGGGCCGCCATTGCATGCCAAAGTGAACGGCGAGCTCGCACTCACGTATCTTGTGTGGGCCGTGCACTTGGCCAAAACTCAAGACAACCATTTGGGGGTGCTGGAGAAGTTTAACAAGGCGCTTAATATGTACGTGGAGCTCCGCGACCGCCGCCAAGTGGCCGCCACGCATTACCAGATGGCCTCTTACTACAGCCAGCAACAGGTGAAAACCAAGCAGCGCATGGAGGCGGCCCGTCGACACTATGAGAAAGCGCTCGAGTACTTTGGCGGTGTCGAAGTCGGCACGACATTCGTGATGATTCACAAACAGCTCGCGGAATTGTACGCGTCGTCCACCAAAGTACGAAGGATCATATGTTGTTTCGTGTTTAGTAGTACTACTAGTAGTAGTGGGGCTGCTACTACAACATGTTATTCCGAAATCGTCTTGTTCTTTCACAGCCAGAATGTGTGTGGCCTTTGAGGGGTTGGAATTGCCAAATCCATTTTGACATTTTTAAATGTCAAAATATATTTTAATGCCCTTCACACTGTTGAAGGCATCTGATTGGCTAGATTCTTGCGTCGATTCTTGTGTACATTATTTGGTTGTGTCGATTCATTATTCTCCATATCGCTCCAATTTCGAAGAAACACAATATATATTTATATATATATATATGCGACGATGTAGATGGAAGACGTCGAGCACGCGCTGCTCGTGGTTCTCAATACATTTGATGCGTTCAAACGCGTAGCCACACTGCCACGTCATGAACAGGCCGACTTGGAATCGATGGCGCCGACGTTGGTGCTGCGGCTGCAAGAGTACCTCCTTCAGCTCATCCGACTCGGGTCGGCGTCCACCAAGCCCGCCATGCAAGCCACAATCACTCGATTTAAAGCCATGTACAGGCTAACGATCGACCAGAACACTCGGCCATTCGCGCACCTGTTGCTCGCGTTACGGAATATGTACGAATAATATAAAATTATGTCCAAATTTGGAAATAGTAGGTGTATACTGCTTGGGATATCTATCATCAATCTAACGCAAACATATGCATTGGGCGATGATCCATCGAGTTCGAGTTCACAGTTGCCCCAGGAACGTCATCCACGACAGCATCGAACGGTCCACCGATAGGTCCACTGGAGATTCGACCTCCATATTCGGCGTAGAATAGGGCATCGCTTTGGCTAGCATAATGCACATATCGTGGCCAACTACGAAGGACGTTAGTTCGATATCCTCTCAAGTAAGAGAAAGCGTGTACTTCAAATTATCGGGGCTACCACCAGCAACCACTTGCCGCTCCATCGTACTCAAGTCTGCTCGCGCTACCACATTCGTACTACTGCATTCCGTCCAATATAACACCCTACAAGCCTAACATGGTATATGCGTACTACTGCCATTTGATATCCAGGTACTAAGTATACCCGTTGGGTACGTCGAGGCTGAGCCCATTCAACCGGGTCAAGGTACTAAGCCCCAGAACTCGCTCCATCGTCACCATCTTGCGCTGCCCCATGCTTGGAAACGGCAGGCCGTCGGCGTGGACGCGGTAGATTTTGCCGCCCTTTTCAGCCACATACAACCTCCACTATCCGCATCAAACGTCATATATGATATATATATATATATATATATATAAATATATGTACGTTCACATGGTCCAATACGATGCCACGTGGAGACTTCAACTTGGTCACGAGTGGCGTTGGGATGGCGCTGCTGCTGGTCGCATTAGACACATCCAAGGCGTAGATCGCTCCTTTCGATTGGACAGTATATCGTAACTTGGATCCGTAGATAGACAGTCCCTGCACGCTCCATTCCTTGCAATAAATATACCATTCATATTAAATCATTATTATCCCATATACTTCAAAGTATATATATATATATTTGCTTACTTGCGCGACGACCACGCGAACGCTGGCGTCATCCACGTGCAACTGGTAGACACGTCCATGTTTTGGATCGGACATGAACAACCACGGGGATGAGGCGACGATGTTATCGACGGCTAGCGCATGCGGTGACGGGAAGGTCACTTGGATGGTCACCCCCTTGACAATCGGACTCTTGTACCCGGCTAACCCGAGCAAATCGTCGGCGCCGGGTGTAATTCCTTCGCATCCACACGCGTGAGACACTAGACATAGGGAAAACAAATCTATCTATCAATTGCACCCACCAGTCGCCGTGCCAAATTCAGATGCGATTGAGACGCTGGTGGTAGCGATGGGCTGCAAGGCGGAGGGGTCCAACAGCGACGCCACACGCAGCACACACGTGACCTCTGTGGGCGTCCTGGACAAGATGGTCACACATCGCTGGGAGAGCACAGTGAGCGTCAGTGGCGAGCCCGGTGGGCCGAAATGGTGCCCACTCCAACTCACTTGGGCCACAGCTCCGAGAAAAACCTATCGCAGCAAAGTATGACCCCGTTGGCATTGGACACCTACATAACTGGATTAAAATGAATCAACGTACCAGCTTGTTGGTGCCGTCCACGTTGCTCTGCCAAATGAAGTTGCCATCCGACCAGTACAGCCTACGACGTGGGTGGGTTTATGGGTTGCAAGACTGGAACGAGTAGAACTATAGTATGACCACAGCATTGTTTCGTACTTGGACCTGGCTTCGTGCACGGCCATGCCGACAATCTTATGCCATGCACTGGACCCAACTAGGGTGTTTGCTTGGGTGTCGGTGTACCTGGCTGTGATGTCATCCCCCTGCACTTGGTAGTACACGACATTCGCCGCCCTCTATTCCACCACACACACGTTTACACCGAGTTTCTTTCGTTCACATTCACACAACGCACGCACCACAGGCACAACGATCATCCACAGGCAAAGCGTAGCCACCCACGACACCCAAATCATCATCCCAATCTTGCACATGCTGCTGGACAACTTTTTATCCTTGGGCTTGACAGTTACATGTCGACAGTTACACTTGAAACGGCAATATCCGAACGTTATTGTAACGTTAACGTGACAAGTTGGCGATATGTTTCCGTGCATTTTAAAAAACTCCAACAACTTCAATTGTACTGTCGGTACTCGTCTTAAATACATCAACACTGCTACGGACTCTGGCTGTCAGGTTCGTTGGGAGGGTCGAATTCCTGGCCCCAGAACGACTGATCTTTTCTAGTGTCATGCGAGTGGGATCGGCGCCGTCGGTCGCTCAGTTCGTGGCTGAGCACCTCTGCGTCTTGATCGTCGTGGGTCGACTCGTGGGCATGTCTCCGCCTGTCGTTCTCCGTGAGCACTTCGACCTGATGCTTCCACAACGTCAGCTGCTGGTTCAAAAACTCGATTTCTTCGCCGTTGTCTTCGGCGAGGCGCTGCATCTCGAGATGGCTCTGCCGCCGCTGCGCCGCCAGCGCTTCCTCCACCTGCCGCTTCACCCGCACTTCCGCAGCGCGCTTGGCCACTTCGATGGACTTGCGGCTCTCTTCAATGCACCGCGCTTCATGCGCCATGACCCGCCTGTTGGCCGCGTCATGTGCCGCCGCCAGCTTTTGCTGGAGCCGCTTATCCCAGTCACGCACGTTCACCTCAGCTTGGCGCCGCTCCTTGGCCGTCTGTTGAACTTGGACTCGCTCCATGTTGAGCGCATCTTGCAAGGCATTGCACCGGCGAATGAGTTTGGTCGTGTCTTGGGCCGTAGACTATGCACACATGTTGGAGAAACACGCAACCACATGTACATATATCCAAGGCAGATTACGACTAGTAGACTGTATGTTTCATATATTCTGTCGTGGCCATGCCGACGACGACACGATCGAAGAGGAGGTCGTACAGTGTGGGCTTTGGTGGCCATCTGGTGGGCGTCTCGAAGGTGTCGATTGGATTCTTGGACGATGTGCAATTCCACCCGCAACGAAGCATTCTCAACCAGCGCTTGATGCCACGACGAGCACAATTTGGTCTAGAATCAAGCAATATCAATCATCATTTCCATCATGATCATCACCATATCTCATATTTGTCATGACACTTGTGCTTACATGCGCTTCCACGAGTCCCGCCATGTCCGCTTCCGGCGACGTTGCGCTCGTCGACATGGACGGTCGATGGATCAGTGGCATGGCTTGGTCGCTGTTGGGATTCAAAAATAAGCTGTAGTCTACACATATATATATATATATATGGTTGAGTGTTTATATTCTAAACTGGAGCGAGTGACATGGAGAATGAATGAATCGACACAACCAAATATAATGTACACAAGAATCATCGGCAGAAGGTTATATATTTAGCCAATCAGATTGCAGGAAACAACCATCATCATCAACTTCAATTAGTGTGATACCAATCCCCACAGGACAAAATTCAGTACAATGAATCGATCGATAGATTTGGCGAATCAGCACAAAGTCAACCAAATTTTGGATAAAATGACAATAAATACAGATATATATATATATCCTTACAGGATGATTCCCACCAAAACAGAACATGTTCTTCCTGATACTACACATCACATATATATATATATATATTACCGTTGAACCAGCGAAAACACAACGACGTGGGGATGCTGGCTTGGGTCACAAGTGCCATAGTATCGTGAAAGGACAGGTCGAACGTCGACATGTTGTTCACAGACACCAGCACCATCCCCCGCTCGAGGCGGATTTCTGGCGGCTGCTTCTTGCCTCTATTCCCCCGTCATATGAACAATCATACCGTAGCAGGACTGACGACTGGTACCGTTTCGATGCTTGGGAACCACCCACTCCTCCTTGTGATGGTAGAGGAGTATTCCGTACACCAAATCTCTATGTAATATACAACATCAAATCAACTTGCAATACTCAATCCAAGTCAAGTGCGTACCTGTGGTGTCACGGACAAGAACACGGCTGGCTTGCCTTGCAGTTTGCACGCTGACAAGCGTACGCGCAACGGTCCTGCGGATGTGCTCCAGATCCCACTCGCTTCTACTCCATCCACATGAAATTCCACAAAACTACTACTAGTAGTACTAGTTCTACTAGTCGACACACCACATACTACTTGATACACCACACACACACATGCAATAATAGTCTTATCGTCCCCACAAACTAACTCGAGATCAGCGTTCTTCCCATTATCACCTTGACAACAACGACATGATGCTAGAAAGTTAGTAGCTAGTATTGTCAAGTCGATATATTCGACATTCGAGTGTTTAAAATCACCAAATCGGCAGAGAATCGATATATCGACCAATCAAAACCCACAACACATGAATCAACTAGCCAATCAAATCCACTCTTGGAATAATTCAACATCGAATTAGTGTGTGATTGAAATTCGTGTGATGTTGGACGATCTTTACATACAAACGTCAGTCAAACAAAGAATCGATCGATCGATTTGGCAAAGAATCAGCACAAAAGTCCAAATATTGGGTAAAAGGACAATATTGTCAAGTCGATATACTAGTATTCGTGCAATCGAATGAGCCAAATGCAATCGATATATATTCGACCAATCAAAACCCACGACACATGCATATCAAGTGGCCAATCAAATGGTCCACTCACATTCGACCAATATCAACTTCGAATTAGTGTGTGATTGAAATTAGTGTGACACTGGACATACAAACTTCCGTACAAAATCGATCGATCGATGGATTAATTTGGCGAATCCACCGGCACTAACAGTCAGCCAAAGTTTGGGTACACAAATAAACGGGTGTTATACCTTGAACTGTGGGGGTCGAAGCTGCCGGTTGGGTCTGTGGCAAGTACATGCCCGTCGTGACCGTGTCCATGCCGAGCCCACTGACGTCGTCCCAGCACAGCAGCAGCAGCCCATCATCTTCATCTTGGTTGTTGTCGGAGATCATAGTTTCTGTACGCTTGCGACTGCCGCCCAGGGTATCGTGGAAGACAGATCCGAGCACACTCATGGGCGTCTGCACGTCCGCTACGTCCATGGAGGATGCCGCGGATGTGCGGCGACTGCCGCTGATCATGGAGCTCGCAGACAGCGCCCGATCATGCCGCCTCAGGTCCGCTTCCGACAACTGACACTCCAGCGATGAAGGGCGCGGGTCCAATGTAAACGTCAAGAACATCGGGCGACTCTGGCTGCGCAGATGCAGCAAAATCGTATCGAACGTTTCGTTCTCGATGGGAACGCCATTGATGTGTGACAGGTGTGACCCAAGCCGGACGTACTGGACGTTTGGAACGTCGAATGAATCGCGAAGGAAGCCGGTGACGACGGCGCCGCGGTAGATGGTTCCGCCAGTTTCGTCGTCCGCGCGGCCGGTGGATGGCGCCAGGCGGAGTCCGAGGCCGCCGGCCGCATGCTGGTTTGGGACGCGGGAAGGGTACAATGGTGACAAGGTCAGCTGAACGTGCACTTGCTCGAGGGCCCATGCAAAGAGCGGCAGCGACGGGAACGTGACGTAGGGCGTGTTGGCACCGGCAAACAAGAAGCATGTGAAGAGGACGTGGCTCTTGTCGCCGGTGGTCGTGTCTGCAGAAGTTGCTGGGAAAGTTTGCAGCAACTCGACCGCTTTGACCAACCACGTGTGGAGCTCTATGAGGCGGTCCTTGCAGTGCTTGGCGCGGAACATTTGAAGGTATGACCCCGACAACGAAGGCCACCTCGCTGTGGCTGCTGCCGACGACGACGACGATGAGGAAGGATCCATGAGCCGAGACAGGAGCATGTCGAAATGGCGGTATCGACGGTGGATCTTCCATCTACATGAGAATCGATGAGCATGCAGAGGGGAGAGATGCACAGGGACGAACCGTTTCAGATGTGACGGGCGGTCGACTGAGCCCAGAGTGCACTCAAACACGTAGCTACAGGTAGGACGTGAGTCATACACACATGATGCTGAATCTCCCATGCAAGATAGGACGATAGACTACTATGTATGTACATGTCGAAGCCGTCGGGCGACTTGTAGTACCCCAGCGGGCTCACGGAGAACGGGTCGGACTTGACAAAGGACGCGAGACGGACGTAGTCTTCGACCAACACGAGCTTGAGATTGCGCTGGGTAACATACGGCTCTGGCAGCGTCATCGCAACGGACGCTTCGTGATACGACAGAAACACTTTCTCGTCGATGTGGGCATCGTCGCCGCGACGCGCGTGTGTAGAAGCGGCGCTCTCCACCACGGCATCGGCGGATTCGGTCTGGTTAGACGTTGGTACATGGTGGACAACCACCTTCTTCCCGGGATCTGCCTTCATGGACGAGCCCTGGCGCCCGGACGAGCCACTGCCCTTGGAATCTCCCCACATGGTTAATGCGTTGACTTGCTGCCAATATTCTTGAAGCAGTGTTAGCGCAACACGAAATATCCTGGGAAACTGAATTTCTTAGCCAATCATGGTGAAAAACCTATTTTAACCTATGATTTGAATCGACAACCTTAATGGGAAGTCACAAGGGTAACTTAGTATTCACGTCAAGTGAGGTAGCTGCTCGGGCGATTCGAAATGGTGATTTAGGCAAAAGTATGTCGTTCCCTGCTAACGTTATTCGCATAATCGGCGCAAGCTCAGGTTTGCTTGATTTCTCGTCCCTCAGCCAGCCAATATCACCCCAACTTTCTCATATTTGTTTAAACGTATTTTTGTATTTAACGTGACCTGTATAGTTTAATGTGAACTGAATCCCATCACAATCACATAAAGAGACGTCTGCATAGATACCGGTACAACAACGTTGAGTGGGTGGACGGTACTACAGTAGTACCAGTAGTACCAGTATCGGGTCGGATTACAGGTAATACTAGTACTATTATAATACAGTACACTACACGAAGTATAATTACACGATTTACGAAACAAGCACGAAACAAAATACACCAGACTACTAGCAATCACGAAACAGTTTTGTTTCGTAAATCCAATATATCAAATTCATGCTATCTTGAAAGTTGTATGCGATTGCTGGTATCTCAGATATATGGTAATTTACGAAACAACGACGAAACATGCATACTACAGTATTTACAGTTAGTAGTATTAACTTAAGTGAAATCACCAGTTCAGACCTTGCCGATACTCTACTCGGCTGTGGCGGCGTCCCGGGCCATCGACGCGTCGGTGGCTTCCAGGACCAACCGACAGCGCCACAGCCGAGCAGCATACCGTTGCGGTGCGTGTCGAAGGGCAGCGCGGCGTCTGCGACTTTGTACGCGATCGACGCGACTCCGAGCGAGCAAAGCCCGTCTGTTGTTGCGGATTATCCGAAATACCAGTTCATAGGTTCACTCAAAGCACAAACCAAAATTCGCTAACTACTAAAAGGCACTGTACGTACATAATTCAATGGGTGAGTTGGCAGACGATGGCTACATGGCCTCACCGTGGAGTGGACGATGCGAGGTACGAAACGTCTAACGTTAATAGAAATTTCAGAACTCACAGTGTCACGTAAACTACGAGCATCTCCAACAGTGTGTTTATTCCAGCACATTAACATGAACAACTCGCTGCGCTTCTTTACCTCGCCGCGATGGACATCCTGCACGAGCTCAAGCTCAGCGCCATGGAGGTCCCTCTCAAAAATCTTGAAAGCCAGGTGAGAGAGTTCCTCTACTCACGACCCTGTCGTCCGTCACCTCTAATATCTGACGTCCACGGTAGACGCATCGACTTTTCCACGCACTGCTGCAAGGGCCGGACTCTTGGAGACTGCAACTCCAAGAGTTGGCTGGCGTGCAGAGCGTCCTGGGCACAGCCAACAAGAGCACCCATGACGAACGTTGTCCCTTGCCTCTTGCCCGTGGCCGTACGACTTTGCACCGGCGTCAGTTGATTTGCTTCCGATTCTTAATGTTTGCTGTGTAGGAACACACATCATGAAACTCCTTGCGTCCAAGCGGTCCGAAGTTGCGAAATAGACGCGCGGCGCCGTGGCGCAATTCTCTCAAATGAGCGGGACCGCGTTCGAGCCGTTTGCCGACGTCATTCAGAGTCGATCCACCGCTGCGAGACGAACTAGGATCCTATGGCGCCCAACCTGGTGGCTCTTGTCGCCCCCGAGTCGGTGGCGGTCATGGAGGCTCAGTGGTGGTCATTTGGTTCTTTGGCCCAAGACACTACCTGGCTAATGTAATTGCGGCGATCAGTCTGAAGCTACGTCTGTCGTTTCTCCGACGGCCGACGACGAGACCAAGCCGTCATTCGCTGGTTCGATGGCAACGTAGGCCGCTGACACCCTAAGTCAAGGGGTGGGGCAACTGCCTACTGTAGCTCCACTTGCAACTTTGTGAGACATCCATCGAGCTAATTTCAGATATATATAATGCATACTTGTTCATCGTAGGTGTGGGACCTTGGACCACATACGGAGGGAGCATTGTACTGTACAGTACACCCCTTGAAAGTGCTTCGTCAGTGGCATATGAAGTCATAAACTACCAGCATTTTCCAGCAACTTTCCAAGCTACGACCTCAAGGTCCGTCGACCACCCACTTGCCAAGTTACTGTAAAGCGCATATTGAAAGCAGGTCGCTTCTCTTTCGATTATACAGTATCTTCCTCGTAGCACGAAAATATATTCTGCTAGTACGTAGTATCTGTAACGTCAGTCAATGAGAGTGACCTTGTCGAGCGCGACGACAGGCAAGTCGGCATCTGATACATACATCATGACTTCCCTCGAAGCGCAGTCCTTCAGTGGTCATGGGTGATATCATGCTAACGCGCTTCTAAAGTTCATGAAAATTGTCCACAACGTAACTTCCGATATGTACGATATATATATATAATTATTCAATATATTATTAATTCTTGCATCGGCTGTGTGTTTCGAGTTTGAACGCGTGGGACGTTAGACAGTAGTCGGTTGAGTGCTTGCATTACAGTAGTATATAGTACGCAGGCTTAATCCCACAAAGCCTTCTTGCCTACAACTCCTCTGTGTGGGCGGCGGCAGGTTCAAATGGAGCAGTCATGACAGGTCGGAACGGGTGAAGTCCATCCAGGACTTGCGTGAGCTGGTTCTCCAAGGCGGCAGTGTCTCGGACGTCAGCCAGATCTACAGCACGTGAATAGAATCCCTCTTCGTTATTGTGCTTTCGAGTGAAATTTCATTGTGGCGTGGTTTCTCATTGGAATTTAAATCGATTTGATTGGCTACTTCAGAGGAGCTCAAAATTATTAGCCAATCAAAACCTTCTCAATGAAATTCAAGTGTGTGGATTGGTTTGGTCGGCGCGATTCGATTGCACCCCCTCCCCACATTTGTATATCAAATCGACAATATCGTATTTCACTAGAATCGATGATTAAAGAACCGCCTGAGCCAATCAAATCACGTCATGTCGAATTTCTGCCAATCCAAACCATTGACATACGGCAAAACCACATAAATACTTATAGTACAGTAGCATAGTATAGTGTGCACAAAATCAAATCGATTCGAAAGCTATATGGCGAAATGACGAAATGCACAATACCAGTCATGCGAACTTGTGTGCCAGTTTTGAACACCAACGCCCGATTGGCGGCGGTTGTCTTGGGGAGATCGAGCCACTGGGCCAGCTGACTGTGGAACCCAACGTCCTCTGGATGGATGTAGAACAGCCTCAACGGGTCCCGGCGGAACTGCTTGGCTGCGGGCTTTAGATCAAACTCCATCGACGATGGCAGGTACACGACGCACATCTTGGCACCGCCGGCCAAGCAAAGCGACTCGAACGTCGACGCGTGCAGCTGTTGCACTGCTCCAATCGGCGGCTTCTTCTTGGGCGACGCGTCCTCCCGAGGTGGAAACACTGGCAACGACTGTGGCTCGATCAACGGCCCCTTCAATGACTACACAAAGCATCCAAACACATGTGAATATGTAAACCTCGGCGGCTATTCGTTTGAAAATTGGCTACACTAGGCTACACTAGGCTACACTTGGCTACACTTGGCTACATTTGGCTATATGACATCTCGACTGCACAACGTCATCACCAGCTACGCTAGGTCACGCTCGGCTACACCGAGCTACAGCTAGGCTAAGCCATTGCTCGGCTACACTTGTGCATCGTCGGCTACACTGAGCTAGGCTAGGCTATACAATTCTGTTTTGTACTACGTACTTGCTTAATGAACGCCACAACGTCGTCTTTGATGGTTTCCACTTGATGCAGTTTGACCCATACATATTCCGACCCTCGAGCCACCAACACGATGGGTCTGTCCGATTCTACCCCATCAACATCACACGATCGAAATGTCTGCTACGTCGTACCCTACCTGGGATGCCGAACTGGTTGACTACCTTTACTTCACTGCCAGGAACAAACCCAATGGACGCCTACTTATTGGGATCAGTCGCGTCTTTATTAGCGGACGAAGGGCCTACCTTGGAGCGGAACTGCTGCGCGACGTCATCCAGCCATCGAGGCTACGTACACGAGCCACAATCCCTGAGGATTTTTCCTCGTGAAGCAATATGGGATGGTTGGTACCTTTCCCTTTTTCTGCTTGTTTCTTCCCAACACCACCACCTTGGGGAGCTTTTGCGACTCCAAGAACGGTTGCATGGTCGTGTATGTCAACAAGTCGACGCGCTCAAACAATCCTGCGTGGGGGTTGCTGCGCACGTATTGGACGATTTCGCTGGCCCGTCGTCCGCCGTTGAAGTCTTTCGGCTTCTTCTTGTTCTTCCCGAACTCTATTGAAAATGGTGAGAGGGGGAAGCGAGGGAAGATCTTCGTCCGACCTTTAATCGTAGGATACCCTTGAATGCCATACGTTTGGCCCAAATCTTGATGCACGGTGCAGTCCACCTTGCCCAGCTTGGCCTACGAATGAACTCATGGGTTACGACCTGTAGATTGTGTGGCCTGCACACATATATATACCTTCGTTTTCAATTGCTTTGCAGCCTCCTTCCACTCGGGCTCAAGCTGTTTGCAATGGCCACACCTGCCACACAATTGGTCAAAGTGACTCGATGAGGTGGTCCTACCACGGAGCATAAAACTCGACCAGCCAGTAGTCCGAACTGTCGAGCACTTGCTGCTTGAAGTTCTTGCTGGTCAAGACATGCACTTGGGCGACACTTGCCTGCAGAAGGGCCGCAGCCACCACGACAGCGCCACTGAACTTCATCGATGAAAATATCCCAGATCTTGGAAATCATGCGTCAAAACCTCTCAAAACGAATTTTTCGACAACAACTTACAGTAGTTACTTTCTCCCCCACTAACGTTTCCTGCATGTGTTTGCCCATATATAACCCCCCCAATCTTTCATCGCAGGTTGCAAGGATTTGACTCCCTTGCTTGGCGAGGGCCACCATATTTAGACTGCGCTAACTTTCTTAGAACCTCTCACAACGGATATGTAACCATACCTCGAATAATGCATAACGTTGAAAACTAATTGCTTTCTAAACTGAATTTGTGTATCAAGGGATTTTCTGCAGTTTAGCTTGGAAACACACCTCTATAAATCGATACATCTTTCTGCCAAGATCTGGGGCTGGTGCAATTCGCCTTTTTGACCTTCCAGCAGATCCATCGAACATGGAGTCCCTCTTTGGCATTGTCGGCAAGGATTTCGTCATCCTCGGCGCCGATAGCAAAGTAGCTCGCTCGATCCTAGTATACAAAGATGATGAAGACAAGGTATGTCCATGCATGATATGTAGTATCATCCATCATCCCTCTCATGATCAATCTGCACAGATGCAAGCTTTGGATTCGCACAAACTCATTGCGGGTGCTGGACCCCAAGCCGACCGCGTGGAGTTCTGCGAGTACATCCAGAAGAACTTGAAGCTATATCAACTGACCAACGGCGTCACGTTGAACGGACACGCAGCGGCTAACTACGTCCGCGGCGAACTGGCGCAGCGACTGCGCAAAGCTCCTGTCCAGTTGAATCTGCTCCTGGGCGCGTTCGATGTCGCCAACCCCAACGACCCCGCCACTGCGGCGACGGGTGGTGTGCCCAGCTTGTACTGGGCAGATTACTTTGGTGCCCTGAACAAGGTCAACTACGGCGCGCAAGGGTACGGCGCACACTTTTGCCTGTCGATTCTCGACCGCGAGTGGCGCGAGAACCTGACGTTGGCAGAAGCCAAGGTGATCCTCACGCACTGCAACAACGAATTGAGCGAACGATTCCTCGTGCGCAGTGGCAAGTGGATCTACAAGGTGATCGACAAGGACGGCATTCATGAAGTTCAATTATAAGCAAGGGATGATGGCGATGTCTATCGACAGGCGTTCGTTCTTCTACTTGCGGCGGTTGTACCGGGCCTTGGACTTGAACGAGTGGACACTGCGCTTGCCTTGTTTGCGTAGCGACGTAATCTTCTCTTTGAATACAAACTCGCCATTCGCTTCACTTGCCTTCTTCTTGGGCGCTTGCTTATCGCGACTCGACAAGTCCTTATCGAACGCGCCCGATTGCACCTTGCGCTGGATCGCCTTTTCCCGCTTCTGGCGCTTCATCTCGTGGATCTCGGCAATCGACGTCGTTGCTGCGCCATCAAAACTTCCCATCAGCCTTCTCGTTGTTCCAATGGGCATCATTCATTCGAACGTACCCAGCTTGCGCTTTTCCTCGATGGCTTTTCGCTTCGCGCTCTTGGCCGCGCCGGCCACATGGTCGGACGTAAACACCTTTTTGCCTACACCAGACAAACATGAATAAATGAATCCAATATAAATGAGCCTTGACTGTGAATCCGACAACATATCACACGAGAAATAAATGAATAAATGATCCTGTCGAACATAAATGAATAGATGATCCCCAATATATTATATATGGCACACTGGGCGGGTAAATAAGCCATAAATAAGGCATAAAGATCAATCACGCTACCGTCGTTCTCGGCCTCCTCGAGCGCGCGCTGTTCGCGGTCGCGCAGCTCGGCCGTCTTTCGCTTCTTGTGGTTCAGCGTGACCTTCTTCTTGTCGGGCTTGTCGTCATGCACCATGAGGTTGGCCTGCCGATGCTCCTCGGCGCGCTCGACCACGCCCTTCTTCTCCTTCTCATTCAGAAACCACGTGCGCGCCGGTCTGCTGTGGATCTCGTCCTTGTGTCGGACCAGGTTGGTCACGCGCGACGCCTCCCTCTCTGCCTCCCGCATGCGTTTCTCCATCGACTCTTCCTTCATCACGCTCGTCACGTCCGCCTCCATGTTGTCGATACGCTGCTTCCACTGCGCAATCACGGCGTCCGGCACACTTCGGCTCTACAAAGTCCACATATATATATGAATCGTGGTTTCATGGGCACGGGGGGGGTTGGTGGCTTTGTTTTTTTACCTTGACAAACCCATGGCAATGGCGAGATACTTCCTTCATGATCAATCGACGGTTCTCCGACGTCAGCGTCACCGCGCGGCCGTTGCGACCGGCGCGCGCCGTCCGCCCCACGCGATGGACGTACGTGGTCACGTCTTTCGGCATCTGGTAGTTGATCACAGCATGCACCCCTTCCACGTCGATCCCCCGCGCCGCGATGTCCGTGCACAGCAACACGTCTGCCGTTCCATCGCGGAAGCGTTGCAACGCCTACAGTAAGGTTAGCACTGTCGAGAATTACTCGATTGGTGAGGTATACATAAATATATATCTATCTATATATATACTGTCGTTTCAAATATATACAATTGTATACAATAGGATCAGGCTTGGAGCAGGATTCATATTCATGCATATATATATATATATATATATATTTCTCGTTCTTGAAGGGCCTTCTGACAAGAGTATATATATATATACGCATTCTTCAACGGTTCAAATCAACATGATATATATATATATCATGGATTTCGATTGTATATATATATGTACCTCGAGACGCTCCTTCTGCACCAAATCGCCGTGCAATTCCGCAGCTTTGATCCCGGCCAATCCAAACAAAATCATCATTCGATGCGCGTGCTTTTTCGTTTCCATAAACACAATCGTCTACGTCATCACAGATAATATATATAAATTAGCCTTTCCGAGTGTGGGGGTGGTTTTATCAAGCTAGCCTCACTTACGTTGGTTTTAAAAGTTCGGGTGCACAGCGCGAGCAGGATGGCTTCGCGGTCGTCTTCGCGGGTGGGTCGGATACGCACAAACTCTTGGACGAGATGCTGCGCCATGTCAAAGAGCGGGTCCGTGGAGATTCGCAGGGGGCGCTTCATCGACAGCTTGATGAGCTCGTCCACCTTGGACGTGAGTGTGGCGGAAAAGAGCAAGGTCTGGCGCGCTACGGGGCAAAACTTGACCAGTTCCTGCACTTCTTCCTGGAACCCAAGCTCGAGCAACCGATCGGCTTCGTCTAGCACGAGGATTTCCAGCTCGTCCAAGTGGATGCTCTAATAAGAATTCATACCCCACGGTTAGTTGCGTATGTATGCAAAAACTAGAGTCACCATGATATATAGTGCACTGGGAAAGAATACTTGACGAAAAAGTAATTGACAATTATATTGTGCTTTCGAGTGAAATTTCATCGTGTTGTGGTGTCTCGTTGGAATTTATATCGATTTAATTGGCGACCTCAGATGAGCTCAAAATGATTAGCCAATCAAAACACATTTCTCAATGAAATTCAACCAATCAGATCGATTGTGGATCGGTTTTGGTCGGCGCGATTCGATTGCACCCTCCCCAAATTTGTACTATCAAATCGACAATATACAGAAAATAATTTATTGCAAAGCGCTGGAAATTACAATACTTGATTGTGCGAGATACAAAATTATATTTTATCTTATCCCTTGAAAAGAAATGTAATTGTTCATTTAAATATTTGGACAATTAAATATTTAAAAATGCAGCAAGCAACACAATAATTGTATTGGCCATGCAATACAATAGTTAATTGTTATATATTACTCCGGAAAATTGATCAAACAGATTTTTTTGCCATACCCTGATAGTACATACACGAGATATTGTAAATTCGCTATATATTTCCAAAATTCGCGTGGTTTAAGTAATTAATATTGAATCACGCTGGAAGTTCTGATTGGTTGAATATACTTGTCCTTTCTTTATGAGCCAATCAAATCCACTTAAAAATGGAGTAGCCAATAGCGTCGATTCTTGATTCGATTCGGCGGCGAGATGGGGTCTGGAAATTCGTATCGAATCCACAATAATAACTCAAACACAAAGTCCACAGTTATGTCCGACTCTACACCACTTTAGCATGCATTTCATACAAAGCAAGCAATTGGAATCGCCATACAAAATGATGCCATCAAGGAGTCGAATTTTCCGACTAAGTTGGCAATACCGCCATCCATATATCGTTCATCGTGATAGAATTCACACATGGAACGATAAAACTAGCAAGCACACTCGAAACTAGTAAGCACATCAACGTACTCGCGAGTTGCGAAGATGGTCAATCATGCGCCCGGGGGTACAGATGATCACATCAGGACACAAGCGGAGCTCGGCTTCTTGTTCGCGAAGCGGCAGCCCGCCCACCGCGAGGCCACTCGTGATATCTGTGAACTTGGCGAGCTGTTCCAGCATCGACTGACACTGCGTCGCCAGTTCGCGCACGGGGCAGATGATCAGCACCCGCGTGGCGGCGACGCGGCGGCTGCGGAACTGCAGACGTTCGAGAATGGGCAGCAAAAACGCCGCCGTTTTGCCCGACCCAGTCTGTGCGCTGGCGCAAATGTCCTTGCCGGTCATCGCTACGGGGATCGCCCGTTGCTACAAGAAGAAGCATCTTCGTTATATTGTCGGCATACACAGTAAGAGAGCATGGGAGTAGACGGACCTGAATCGGCGTCGGCGCACTAAACCCGAGCGAGCTCACGGCGCGAAGCAGCGGGCGACTCAGCTTGAGGTCGCTGAACGACGTCGTGTTGTCCATTTCCGGAGCCTGGAACTCGGTTTCAAAGAACGCGTCGGCCTTTTTCTTTTCGATCGCGTCCACGGCGGCACTTGCCGCGTTCTGCTTGCGTTCGTGCAACGCTTCCTGGAGTTTGGACTCTTCCACGACGTCGGCGGCGGCGGCATCCTCGTCGTCGCTGTCGCTGTCATTGTCGCCGTCAGCATCATCCTTGGCGACCTCCTTGTTGTCGTCGTCGTCGCCAGTCGTCGCTTGTTCGGTGGTAGTGGCGGCGGCCGCTTTCTCCGCGGCCTGCAGACTCTTCTTCTTCTCCTTTCGCGCGTCTTGGCGCTCCTTACGACGGGCCTCGATCTTCTTTTGGACTGTCGTACGAACGCTGTCGCCGTAACTGCGACGCTCCATGTTGTCGATGTGTGCGATGGCCTCTAGAAAGTGCAACCATCAATACACTCGTCGATGGACTGGGAAAGGACGTCGTACTCGTAAAGTCCCAAGAGTTGCCCGTCGCACTCTACAACAAGTTCACGGTTAATATGATAACGCTGGTACATGTGAGACTGCAAAGCAGACACGCACGCGGAAAGCAGATCCGTCGTCAAACTCAAAGCCCTCGGCGATGTCGCTAATGGCGGCATTCTGCTTCTTCTTCTCGTCCTTCTTTTGCTGCTTCTTCTTTTGTTGCTACCAACCATCACCACCAGTGAGTCCTCTTGTCGACGATGTCGATGATGTACCTTGGAGATCACGGCCACAGCTTCCTCCTTGTCCTGTTCTTCGTCGCTACTTTCGTCCAATCGGTCCACCTGCATACCAAGGATCGGTGAGTCGACATGTCCTTCATGTGCATATGCACGTACTTCGTCGTCCGACTCGATCGTCATGAGGAACGTTCCCGGGGGTGTCATGGCGCGCGTTGCCGTCATTCTCGTTGGTCAACTTCACTTGTGGGAAATGATTGGATCGGAAAAGCGTTTCGCGAAGTATCATTGGTTGGCGCTGGTTGCGCTGGCGGTTATAAAATGGCTTCGTTTTCGCGCTCTTATACTAGACGTTTGTATACCACGGCATTAAAATACGATTCACAGTCTTGGCGTTTTCCCATTATTCAAGTAAATTCGGCGGCGGAAGCGGCACACCAGTCGAGCAAGCATCATGAGTCGTCCCGAGCACATCATGCCGCCAGAGGTATGATCCATTGCCATGTTCTGGTGTGTGTGCATGTACATCTGATGAACATGTGTAGATCTTCTACAACGAGAAGGAGGCGGCCAAGTATAACTCGAGCTCGCGCATTATCAAAGTTCAGGTACTGTTAAGATTCTGAAGAACGTCATGCATTAACGATCGATGCAACAGAATGACATTGCCGAGCGTGCCATTGAACTGCTGAATTTGCCTGCGGACAAGGAACACTTCATCCTCGACGTCGGTTGCGGTAGTGGACTCAGCGGCCGTACGTGCACACCACAACACCATGTTTCCACGTCCATCTCACAACTTGTGTTGCATTAGTGGCATTACAGGAATCTGGACATGCGTGGATCGGCTGCGACATCAGGTACAACCACCACCCGTCGTCGGTGCACTTTCTCGATCTCACTTCCTGCTTTTTACCTCGTCCAGCCAAGACATGCTAGACATTGCCATCGAGCGTGACAGTAGCGGGGACGTGTTCCTCCAGGACATGGGCGGTGGACTTCCCTTCCGTCCGGGTGTTTTTGATGGCTGCATCAGCATTTCTGCCGTCCAGTGGCTCTGCTACTCGGACAAGAAGGAGCACACGGCGCGCAAGCGTCTCATGCGCTTCTTCGGGTCACTCTACACGTGCTTGAAGCGCGGCGGGCGCGCTGTGATCCAGCTGTACCCCGAAACCCCCGAGCAAATGGAAGAAATCTCCGCCAACGCCATGCGCTGCGGGTTCTCGGGCGGGCTCGTCATCGACTTTCCCAACAGTGCCAAAGCTAAAAAGTACTACCTTTGTCTCATCGCTGGGCACGATCCCACCGCAAAGGCGACCCTTCCCAAGGCCCTCGTCGGAGACGCCGCCGCCGCCGCCTTTGAAAACCGCAGAGAGAAAAACGTACGTATGTTTGTAGTGGGAAAAATCCCCGCCTCGTCATCGACATGGCGGGGGATTGTGGGAATTATTCCCTACAAAGTCAAGGGTTGGATAAAGACTGATGTGCTATCACTTGTAGAAGAAAGGCAAGGCGCGAGTCCCACTCAAGGACAAGTACGTCACTATTTTGATGGGCATTATGTCACAATTGCTGGTGGTCACTAATAACGACACTGCGGGTATAGGGACTGGGTGCTGGCCAAGAAGGAGCGATACCGCAAACAAGGAAAAGAGGTCAAGACAGACAGTAAATTCACGGCGCGGCGTCGCGCGCGAGGGTTCTAACCATGCATATCTCGACTATACGATAATACGTCAACTTGTACGACCTATTATTCTGTTGGACGACCTACCGAGTGTTGTCCCATCTGGCAATCGACACCGTCGCATGCTTGTCGTCTTTGTTCGTCGCGCACTTACTACAAGGATGACCGTGGTTGGAATGACTGTGAACAAATGCGGTAGCGACAAATTAGAGGACGATTCTCGAGTGTAGTTTAACAGACTTGGGGCTAAAGATTGCCACGCTAAAACTGTCGATATCTGCACACTTGTGCATCCCAAACGACGAGACCTGCTCCCCCCACCACCAAAGGACCAACGACGTCACCGTTGCAGTCAACCTCACCACGAGCGACCTTGAGTGTTGGAGTCACATCGCCACCTCCATCGACGACCCCTCTTCGAACAACTGAAGAGATCCGCACAAGGAAAAGTCCAACGTACTTGCGTTCCACGGTGATCTCATCCCCAACAAAAGCTCATCCCAAGCCCATTTGGTCGTGGGTGATTGTGGGGTTAGTGGTGTGTGGTGTGGGGCTGATGGGTGCGGCGTTGGCAAGTGGCGTCGAAATCAACCCACTTCGTCGACGTTGGTGTGACCTCCACGCAACAACACAACTAAAGTGTACACAAAACGCGACTCAATTCAACATCGTACGTCACGGATGGCCGTGGCACGGAGAAGAGAGTCGCGTTGGAGTTGGCACGGGGAAGTTCAAGGCAGTCATCACGACCATCTTGAGTTGTCCGTGACGTCGCTGTCGACAGAGGATGACCTTCGGGGGCTGCTGGTGTTGGAAGACTCACTACCCCACCCCCTCTGGCCATCGCTGCTGACGTCGCTGCCGACGGAGGATGACCTTCGCGGGCTGCTGGTGTTCGAAGACACACTACCCCACCCCCTTTGATCTTCAGAGCTGCCGACGGTTTCAACGGTGGCAACGTCGCTGCAGACTGACGACGATCGTCGGGGACTGCTGATGTTGGACGAAATGCTGCCACATCCCCGCTGATCTTCGTAGCTGCCGATGGCGTCAAGGCAGGGGATCTTTTCGCGAGGCGTTAGCACGAGGGCGTCGTTCCCCTCCCCGTCCCGAGCATCCCATTCTGTTATGCTGTCCATGGGGGCCATGCCATTGCGCCACGTGTTAGGGACGTCAAGCCACGGCACTGGGACATTGCCTGTGGGGGTTGCCGCCATGTGATACATGTCAGCAGCATGTCCATCCCCAGGGGGTGACGAAGTGGTTTGATTTTGACGCCACTTGGCAACGCCGCACCCCATCAGCCCCACACCACACACCACTACCCCCACAACCACCCACGACCAAATGGGCTTGGGACGAGCTTTTGTTGGGGATGGGATCACCGTGGAACGCAAGTACGTTGGACTTTTCGTTGTGCGGATCTCTTCAGTTGTTCGAAGAGGGGTCGTCGATGGAGGTGGCGATGTGACTCCAACACTCAAGGTCGTTCGTGGAGAGGTTGACTGCAACGGTGACGTCGTTGGTCCTTTGGTGGTCGGGGCAGCAGGTCTCGTCGTGTGGGGTGGCATTGAAGTGGTCGACATCGGCAAAGGTGGTCGAGTCGTTGCTGCGGCCATCGTGGGCGTCGCGCGTGGGGCTGCTGGCGACTTCACCGACACACAGCCCATGACAAGAGGGGTCGTGTTCGGGAGGGCCTGGCACGTCGAGCCGAACTCAAGACGTGGCTGGGGACCAGGACAAGCGCCCACGCCGGCGAGTGCAGCGTCCTTTCCGACGCAGCTGGGCCC